AACTCTGGGATCAGGAAGAGGCTCTGATTGATCTCCAGGCCCGTATCCGAGGTGACTTCACACGGCAAGTCATGGGATACAGGCTTGAGATGCGACGATTTGCAACGAAGCTGCAAAGTGCTGCCCGTGGCTATCTCGCACGGAGCCGACAGGAGCAGAGCGAGCAAGTTTGTGCAGCCATGGAGCCTCAGATCCTGGAGCTACAGAGCATCATCAGGGCCAGCAAGGCACGATGTCATGTGCACGACTTGAAGTCTTCATTGGAAGCATGCAAAGGACCTACAAGGGATATACAGGCAATCTCTAGAGGTTTCTTGCTCCGAAAAACGCACAACGCCCAGCAGCGCGCGACGAAAAAGACATCGGGAGATGTGCAGAAGCTACAGGCTGCTGTGCGTGGCATGCTGGTCAGGGACCGTGTCGAGAAAGAGCTGGGGTCACTGGACCAACAGGCGACCTCGATCATCGCTCTGCAAGCAGCAGCGAGGGCTCATCGGACGCGGCAACGTATCGACGAGCAAAAACAACAGCTGGAAGCGGCCGCTCCACAATTCATCGCCTTGCAGGGACTCGCTAGAGGACGAGCAGCACGCGCCAAGGCCCAAGATCTAAGATCGGAGTTGCAGCAACACGTGTCAGACATTGGGCGACTCCAGGCAACAATACGAGCAGCAGCAGTGCGCAGAGACATTGCTGTGCAGGATGCGGCTTTGCGTCAGGAAGAGAAGGCCGTCGAGGCGCTGCAAGCCTCCATCAGGGGCATGCTGGAGAGGCAAAGGATAGCCGAAGACGAGGCTCAACTACAACTCGCGACAGAAGAGATCACGAAACTGCAAGGACACATACGAGGAAGCCTGTATCGGGACCAGCATGCTTCCTTGATGGAGGAACTACATTCCCATGACGGAGAATTTGCCCTGTTCCAGGCGATGCTCCGTGGTATAATGGAACGCGGCAGAGTCGGAGACTTGCTGGCAGAATTGGAAGAGGAGGAGATGTCAATCATTGCGCTACAGTCTGCCATCAAGGGAACGCTCGTTCGGCGCAAGTTCGAGGAGAAAAAGCGATACTTCAACGAGAACATGCAAAAGGTCATCAAAATCCAGAGCTTTGTGCGTGCCAAGGTTCAAGGCGAGGCGTACAAGAGTCTTACTACTGGCAAGAACCCGCCCGTCAACGCCGTCAAAAACTTTGTTCACTTGCTCAACGACAGCGACTTTGACTTCAATGAGGAGGTTGAGTTTGAACGCATGCGCAAGACTGTCGTGCAACAAGTGCGCCAGAACGAGATGCTCGAGCAGTACATTGATCAGCTCGATATCAAGATCGCCCTGCTCGTGAAGAACAAGATCACCCTAGACGAGGTTGTCAAGCATCAGCATAACTATGGCGGCCATTCGATGGGTCTGCTCGCCAACTCTTCCATGACATCAGGCAATCAATTCGATCTCAAGGCTCTCAACAAGAGTTCGAGGAAGAAGCTCGAATCGTACCAGCAATTGTTCTTCAACCTACAGACCCAACCGCAGTATCTCGCGCGTCTCTTCCACAGCATTCGAGAAAAGGGCACAGCCGAGAAGGATTGCAAGCGCATCGAGCTGCTCATCATGAGTCTCTTCGGCTACGCTCAGAAACGTCGCGAGGAATACTACCTTCTCAAGCTACTGGCACGATCCATTCGCGAGGAAGTCGAAGGTTGTCGCTCCATCCAGGATTACCTGCGTGGCAACTTCTTCTGGGCCAAGCTTCTGGCCAACTATACTCGCTCGCCAAGGGATCGCAAATTTCTCCGGGACCTACTTGGACCTGTCATCCGTGACCACATCATCGAGGATCCCGCCTTGGACTTGGAGAGTGACCCAATGCAGATTTACCGTTCAGCCATCAACAATGAAGAGCTCCGCACGGGGCGACCGGACCCTCGCCCCCTCGATGTCCCTCGCGAAGTTGCCATTCGGGACCCAGAAACCCGCCGTCTCTTCATCGACCACTTGCGAGATCTCCGCGAGGTGAGCGATCAATACTTCCTTGCCCTCGAGGATCTCTTGCACAAGATGCCGTACGGTCTCCGTTTCCTGGGCAGCCAGATGTTCGCCGCACTCTGCCAGAAGTTCAAGAAGGAACCCCAAGATGCGCTGCTGCATGCCGTGTCGAACTGGATATGGAAATTTTACCTGCAGCCTGCTCTAGTCTCGCCCGAAGAGGTTGGCGTGGTAGAGAAGGGCTTGAGCCCACTGCAAAAACGCAACTTGAGCGAGGTCAGCAAAGTCATCGGACAGATCGCTTCCGGTCGCGTCTTTGGCGGCGATAACATCTACCTTCAACCACTCAACAACTTTGTGTCTGAGTCTATCGAGCGCCTCACCAACATCACCCACGATCTGATCTCAGTCCCGGACGCAGAGAGCACCTTTGACATTGACGAGTTCAACGACCTGTACGCCAAAAACAAGCCGACCCTCTACATCAAGATGACCGATGTGTTCGCCATCCACAATTTGATGGCGGCGGAGATCAACCAGCTCTGTCCTAGCCGGGACGACATCCTGCGTGAGATTTTGCACGACCTCGGTAGCGCAAAGAGCAATGAGAGCGAGATGGCAGCCGCTGGGTCATCAGAAATACACATGTTCCTCACACCGAAGCTTCACGACGTTAACGACCCCGAGGCGGAGGTGAAATCGCTTTTCATGGAGACCAAGCGATGTGTCCTGTATATCATTCGGGTGCAAACGGGCGCTAATCTCCTGGAGATCCTGGTCAAGCCAATTTCCGACGAGGATGAGGACAAGTGGCAGACATTGCTTCACAACGACTTTGCCGGCATTGCCAAGACAAAGGGCGCGTACTCTGACGCGAATATGGTGGATGTTACGCGCATGTCCTACTATGAGCTCAAGCGTACGGCGCTGGAGAACGTCATGCGATTGGAGCATATGGGCATGATCTCCAAGAAGAACTTCTACCAGGATGTGCTCAACGCAATCGCGGTGGACATCCGTTCCAAGAGCCGGCGAAGGGTGCAGAGGCAGCGCGAGCTGGAAGGCGTCCGCATGACACTTGGCAACTTGCACGAGAAGGCCAAGTACTTGGAGCAGCAGCGCAAGAGTTATGACGATTACATCGAGTCAGCTATGGCGACGCTGCAAAACAAGAGAGGGTAAGTCTGACATGAAGCAATCACAGTTGCAGCCAGTTGCTAACACAAATAGCCGACGACGCTTTCTGCTCCCCTTCACGAAGCAGTACAACCACCAGCGCGAGCTAGAGCGCAGTGGCCGTGTCCCAAAGTTCGGCAGCTACAAGTACAGTGCCCGTGCGCTCTCCGAGAAGGGCGTCCTCGTCTCGTGGGCCGGCGCGGGTGACTTGGACAAGACGAATATGACCATCTCCTGCGACGAGGTGGGCGTCTTCAATCTCGAGGGGTCTAAGGGGCATATCCAGATGCCCGGCGCAAGCGCTCTCGTGCCCATCGAGGACCTCCTGCAGGCGCAGTTCGAGGCACATCAGTTTATGAATCTCTTCGAGGGCAACCTGAAGCTCAACGTCAACCTGCTGCTGCACCTTCTGTACAAGAAGTTCTACCGGACGCAGTAATACCTGTCTGATGACCCGGACAGAGACACGACCGTGATGAGGAAAGAGGGAAGCGGTGTTTGTTTTGTTTTGAACGTGTATGACTCGTGGCATGGCGCTCTTTGGACTCTGGTGTTGGTGGAGGGTTTGGAGGCATACACACAATGGTCAGGGAGGGGAGTTCCGTGGCTACTACCATATAGGATCTCGTATTTATGTCTTGGTTTGAGGCGTCTTGCTTTCTTTCTGGCTTTGGAATTATGCATGGATGGTACGCATCGGAGCGGAGGGTAACTCAGGTACTTAAGACAATGAATCATGCATATTTGAAGACTATCTATGACTAAGGTTCTACATCGGATACTGGGTGACTGCTACATTGGTTAGCACTTGTGTCGCATTGCTGTGTTGGTGTTCGACGTCGTCGGACGAAGGTTGTCTAGATCTCGTCCGGCCACGTCAAACTTGCAATAACTCATGATCACAAGATCTGCACACACTTCCGCAACCGCTGATCACAAATTCGCACCTCACCTATATAGTTAGCTTCCGATGTCGCCCAGTGCGCTGCTTTGACCAGTGTCTCAGCGGGAGAGTTTTGGTCGTGTGATCTTCAATTGAGGGGGGACCTTGGCCACATCTTTAGCTCTGATTCAAATGGTGGTGGGCGTGGGCGGCGCCCAAGGGTCGTATTTTACAGCATCCGCGTATCGTTTCGTTCCTTTTGCTTTCTCGCCTCGCACGGAGTCATGGCAGTTCTTTTTTTTCTGTTCACTGACGGTCATCAGGGATGTCCCTTGATAACCATCAAAGATCCGGCCAGCCAGCACCGCCATCATCTTGCCACAAGATGAACAGTCATAACCGCAGGTCTGGTGGAGTTGACAGACGGGCAAATGGCGGCTGCCTGCGAGGTGCTGATGAATTTGTCTTGCGTCCCCGAATCCTGCGGTGCTCGGTGGTGCCGCCTTCCGCTGCGCTCTGCCAGCATGTGGACCTTTGTTCAGACGAGGTTGCCTGGATATGAGTCTTGTTGGTGGGGGGTTGAGCCTTGGCCTTTGTTGAAGATTTGCAACGTCTCGCCAATACAGTCCGCTTGTGTTGACATCGAGTATTACGTGTGCATGACTGGCGTCATTTTTGATCGCCGACTTGACGGAACGGGTACGGGAAAGGCGGGAGCTGGGTGTCTCCTAGATAATGGTAGACAGTCAGTATTTCCTGGAGTTGTGAGCGATTCTTGAGTAAGATCTGGAAATGCAGAAGCGTCCTGGCTTCAGAATTGCAGGTCTACCCAAGCGTGGTCGGCTGCCTCCTTCCGGGAGAGAACAAAGAAGCAGCGGTGTCTCCTCTGATGGGTAGCGTGGTCGTGCGTATGGATGTGGGACAAGTTATTAGCGGCGACCTTGCGCGCACGCGCAGAACTTTTCTCTTCATCTGACAGGGATGCGATGCAGATTCGTGCCAATGCCGCTGGGATGGTTGACGTTCAACACATCAAGGCCGACATGTTTCCGCTCGATTGTTTGTAGCGAGTGATGGACGCTCGCTGGGACGGGGCTTGAATGGCTGATAGGCCGAGAGGCCTAGACCGTCGAGTAGACACTAGACTGGTTGATTGTGGCAGGTTATCGTGTGACTACAATTCACGAGTCGGGGTCCCGCGGGAGCTGGCTGATGAGGGGCGGAAGAATGAGCTTCTGGCAAGGAGCGACGTCGGGCCCCGGGGGAACTTCTTGGTGGGAGAGTTTTGCATGGCGCTGCTGCACCTTTGTGCAAGGAAGCCCGCATTGGTGCATTGGCGGAGAATGAGACAGACAACCCCTCCTCGGGATTCTCGGTCGTTGGGTCGGGGTCGGTCGAGGTCAAGTTCGTGGTTCGCATCGCGACGTCAACGGCACAAGCTGTTGGCAACATAGCCGGACATATTGGAATGATGGAACTGATTTGAAACACCATGTCGGAATGCGGGGATGACGTATAAAGTGAATTGCGGCTCAAAGTTCAAACTACCATTGTGCCATCATCCCCGGAAATGTCGTGCTCTTGGGGAGGCTGGAGCTATGGCACCATCTCCACAATCGAGCACGACATTTGGCTTGCGTGACGAGCTGGCGTCAGAGTCACTAGACGAAATTGGTCAGTGAGAATCGTGTGCGTACTGTTTTCATTGCGCTCTTGGATATCTCGTGAACGCTTGCCTGGTCAGGATAGCATGTTGCATTGTGGGAGGGCCCCCTTCTGCGACAAAGCGCTCTCATCGCCGTGCATCTTGCCAAGATATCTGCACTGAGACGCCAGCCAGTCAGCAGCAAGCTGGGAGAAAAAAAGTTTCGTGCCCGCATCCGCACGAGGTTTCTGGAGACGGCGTGGCGGAGGCGGGCATGGTGGGGGAGGGCAGGGCGTACGTAGCGGCGTGGCCTAGGTGACGGCGACCCTCCCACCCTTTTCTTTGGGCAGAGCTCATGGACGGATTGGGACCGCGACGACGTCAGAGTGGACGGGATTTGTCTCTGGTCTGCTCGTAGTGTAAGTTTATGTTTGTTGGCTGGCTGTTGAAGACGTGATCGCTGCGTCTTGAATCAGATTTGCAGTCGGGGAAAGATCAAAGTCATGATTGTAGGGATGTGTGATCGATTAATGCTAGCGTGGATGAGCGCGCAGTTGCCAGCGTGATAACGGCCCAGACGGAATATTGGCTGCTCTCACCCAGAGATGAGCCTATACAGTGCAATGAGAGCCTCAAGCGGCACTGTATAGCTAGTTATCCGGCCCCTGCAGATCCTCTTCGGCTTGAGGGGCGTAGGAGTCCTGCGAGTGTAAGGGTTCATGGCCAATGAGCAGCGTGGCTGAGCCCAATTCAGTAGTCGGCCTGCAGTCCGCTCTGCTGCTCTCACACCGCCGCTTCGATACTCAAAAAATCTCATTCACGTCGAGCGACCACACGCGTGCGAGCACTGTGCTACTGTATAGAAGGCATCTGCGAATCTCTGACAAACCGCACTGCGCGAGGCAAGAGCGAGGAGCGCGGACAGAGCTGTTGCGCATCCTCGCTCTTGCCCCTCTTTCTCTACAGTAACGTCCCTTTGGCGAAACTGGAGGAACACTTGAGTCACAAGACGTGGATGGCAGAGGAGGAAAGAATGATCCGAGCTCTCGCACTCGCGCTACGACTGACACGTAAGTGAAAGTACCTGGTAGTACGTGTCGGTCAGTCAGCTGGCCAGCGCTGATAATTCCATCCTGCGCATCCATCCATCATCTCCCGAGTCCCAACCAACAAACACCGGTGACCTGCTGATCTATCGTCTGTCTCGACAATCATCGTGTCCGTAATCGCCGCTCTGACCGACTTTACGCATACATACGAAAGCACGAACGCACGCACACACGTACTTTGCCTTCGCGGCACATACAAGTATTGATCGGCAGCGTTCCAACATTTCCTTTCGCGCCCTTGGCTCGTGTGTTTCCACATTGCATTACCAGATCCACGACCCTCGGGTAGTTTCACGTTCCCCACGGCCTTATCTGCAACTCGAACTTTTGGCTCGAACCGCCTCGCCCGCCCGCTGGGCCGTCCTGCATGGCGGCGTCTTTCCTAGTCCCGTATCTGACAGACGTTCCACTCGAGACCCCTTGTTACATTGTCAGCTGTGAGGACTAGGCGTGACCGACAGCCGTTGTCTTGCCTCCACAGCCCAGTCTTTGTTGGACACGCACTCCAGCCCCTGGAGCGGCTGCCTACTAATAACTAGCTTCCCTCCTCATCTACCGGCCTTTGTCCCTCTCCTTCTTTCTACCATTCCATCCATCATATACCACACTGCACCCTCCACGACACGCTAGCTCTAGTCTCAGGATACGCTGCGGCGGCTAGCTTGTCCTTCTTGTAGACGGACACTCTCCCCTCCTCACCGCACCATCACCTTCATCGTCCATCTTTGCCTCGCCGAACATGGCTCCTGATCTCAACACCATGCCGCCCTCGGCAGTCCAAGTGCCCGTGTCCGGCCCTGGTGCTGCCACTGAGCCGCCCAATATCTTGTACATCATGGCCGATCAGCTTGCCGCGCCACAGCTTAAAATGTACAACCCCGAGTCTCAGATCAAGACGCCTCACCTTGACCGCCTGGCCGCTCAGTCGGTCCAGTTTGACTCGGCGTACTGTCCTTCTCCGCTCTGCGCTCCCTCGCGCATGAGCATGGTTTCGGGCTTGCTGCCCATGAAGATTGGTGCTTTCGACAATGCCTCGCAGATCAACTCGGAAATTCCCACCTACGCCCATTATTTGCGCTCCAAGGGTTATCACACAGCTTTGGCGGGAAAGATGCACTTTGTCGGAGATCAACTCCATGGCTACGAGCAGCGCCTGACATCGGACATTTACCCTGGTGACTTTGGGTGGGCTGTCAACTGGGACGAGCCTGATACTCGTCTGGAGTGGTATCACAACGCCAGCTCCATTCTGCAAGCTGGTCCTTGCGCTCGTAGCAACCAGCTCGACTACGATGAAGAGGTCATGTTCAAGAGCACCCAATACATTTGGGACCACGTGCGCGAGGGGCCCAACAAGCGACCCTTCTGCTTGACTGTATCCCTCACTCACCCGCACGACCCTTACACTATCACGAAAAAGTACTGGGACCGCTATGAAGATGTGGACCCGACCCTTCCCAAGGTCTGCATTCCAAAGGAGGAGCAGGACTCCCACAGCAAGCGCCTGCTCAAGGTCTGTGATCTCTGGGACCAAGATTTCACCGATGAACAGATCAAGCGTGCGAAGCGCGCCTACTATGGCTCCGTCAGCTACGTCGATGATAACATTGGCAAGCTGCTCGAGACTTTGGAGGACGCCGGTCTTGCCGACAACACTATTGTCATTTTCAGCGGCGACCACGGCGACATGCTGGGCGAGCGTGGCTTGTGGTACAAGATGAGCTACTTTGAGTCGTCGGTCCGCGTTCCCATGCTCATCTCCTATCCCAAGTGGTTCGCCCCTCACCGCGTGTCGCAGAACGTCTCAACTCTCGACATTCTGCCTACGCTTTGCGACCTGGTCAACACCAAGCCCTCGCCTTATCTCCCAATGGACGGCGTGAGCATGCTCCCCCATCTCAAGGGCGAGCAAGGCGGTGACACCGTGTTTGCCGAGTACACTGGTGAGGGCACTGTCCGCCCCCTGTTCATGATCCGCCGTGGCGACTGGAAGTTCATCACCTGCCCCGCGGATGACCCCCAGCTGTTCAACCTCAGGCGCGACCCCGAGGAGCTGGATAACCTGGCCCGGTTCCGCAAGATCCAACCGCAGACGCCAGAGCAGCAAGAGGCTAAGGAGATGTTTGAAAAATTCGAGGCCGAGGCAGCTGCCCGCTGGGACTATGACGCCATCACCGCGCAGGTCTTCCAGTCGCAGCGCAGTCGCCGTGTTGTCTGGGATGCTTTGAAGATTGGCCACTTTACCAGCTGGGACCACAACCCGGAAGATGACGGTCGTCAAAAGTACATTCGCTCGACTATTCCTCTCGACGACCTCGAGCGTCGCGCCCGCTTCCCTGCCGTTGATGTCCACGGGCACGAGGTGACCACCAAGAAGGTGGTCAACAGCACACGCGGTTGAAGGTGATGACGGACGGTCAAATTTGCCGATAACGAGAAGGATGGAACTGTGACCTGGCTATCATGTTGGGGTGCATTTGTTTGTGGATTTGCTGCATAGGGTTTGGTGTCCGGGGAGTTTTTGTTGTTCACTCCTCCATGATACCATTTTGATGATCTGTGACTTAGTATAGCCGGTTCACTTCTTGCTTAGCCGATAGCCTGTCAGCACCGCATTTCGAATTCAAAAGACCAGCATTTGCGATTAGCAAGGCGACTTTGTTGGGCAGCCCATCTCTGAATGGCTTGGGTGATGACCGGCGATGAAGAATACGTGCATCTGTAGTTTTCTTTTGCGAAGTTCATTGATTGCAATCATATTCCATTACCTTTGAAAGCACCCTTTATAATTATTGTGTAGTGGTGTCGATGCCCGGATCTTGAACAATACTTAATTGGCGACTCTCAAGGTTCCCCCAATTCGTACCTGCCCCACACATGACCTGCCACTCCAACCAAGCTCTCCATACCTGTACCTTTCTTCACCTTGAACTTGTAGCTTCTCAATGCCCAAGCACCACACAAGTCAAAGCACAATCTGGGGTCGAGCGACACGGAACAGGGTCTCGCTGCATTTCTGAGCTTCGAAGGACCGTCCTTGTGTCCACCATCCACACACCCGCGCCCGCATCGTCGAGCAAACCCGAGCGCATCGCGCGCGCGCACGCCTCGCCCACAATGGCAGCCCTCATGCTGGATGATGACGAGTTCAAGTCTCTCGAATCGATCGTGGCGCGCCTCAACCAGCTCAACGCCAGCATACAATCGTTACGCGCCGACATTTTCAACGCCCACCCCCTCCCCCCGCCGGCCTCGTTCCAAGCCTCGTCGCAGATCATCCAGAAGAATCTGCAGTCGCTCCTCGACACCATCAACGACAATGCGGTCCTCTTGGACACCATGGCGATACACCCGAGCACCAACTACCCGGGCCGAACACAGGAGGGGCTGCTGATGAACCTGCTCCGCAAGAAGCTGGAACCGCAGATGGAGGAGCTCGTCGACAAGGGACGGACGATGAGCGACGAGGCCACCAAGGAGGGCATGGACAAGATGATGGAGGTCTGGTCCGGCGTGCGCGAGTGGATGGCGGAGCGGGTGCGCGAGTACGTGACCGAGGAGGCGGGCGACTTTTACACGAGGGAGGAGCGAGACGAGATTGGCGTGGAGAATGTGCGGACGGGGCTGAAGAGGGATCTCTACGAGGAGGAAGACGAGGAGGAGGAGGACGAGGAGATGGAGGGGGCCGAGTCGAAGCCGCCGAAAGCAGAAGCGCCCAAGGAAGAGGAAAAGGTCGTCACGAGGGGCCCCGAGCCCGAGACGCTGCTGTGGTTCATGGCGCGAGGCGACTTTATGGTACCACCGAACGTGGAGTATGAGCGCAAGGTGGGAGCGTACAGGGGACTTCAAGGGGTGAATATTCCGCAGCAGACATTGCAGCAGCAGGCACAGGCACAGGAGCAACAAGCACAAGCACAGGAGCAGCAGCATGAGCAGCAGCCGATGGGTCAACCAGGCCAGCCTTGAATGAATAGGCGAGGCAGCCTTGAGAGAGGTCGCTCAAAGACAGCTGAAGAGCGGTGGGTGTCATGAGATTCATCAGGCGTGGCGTTTGGCATTTCCAGGTACGAGGCGTGATACCTACTTACTTACCCACGGACGGGCATGGTTGGGAGTTTAAGAGCAACGCGGGACGAAGGCGAGGCCACGCACGTCATTCGCGGTCAAGACTTGGATTATTAATTGGACAACTGGCTCTCTCACTACTTGCGCAAAGCGATGGTCAATCAGGACACGGACAACTTTCTCTGTGCCCAGTCTGCTGCTACATATCTCAGTCACCAGTCAAGCAACCCCACAGGCCCCCACCCCGCATCGCATCGCATCGCGTGTGACACCTCCGGTCAGTCATCGGAGATTCACGATCATCTCATGCGAAGACCGGAGCCTCTAACAAGTTCACGCCAACGGACGCAGACACCAGGGAATTTTTATTGAAACTTCAAAGTCTGCCATCGCAATGGAGGCGCGCTGTCAATGCAGCGCTGTGCGCTTCACCACACCCCTTCCACAGCCGTTGGCGCTCTACATCTGTCACTGCTCGAGCTGTCGTCGGCAGACGAGCAGTGCATTCGGGGCGTCGGCCATCTTCCCCCGATTCAAGCTGCCAGACGTTGAGCTGCTCAGCTGCTACGCGTAAGATGCCCACAGGCCGAACGAATGCGACGCAACTGACAAGTCGCAGGAGACCTGTCGCCTCAGGGCACACGTTGTACTGGTGAGCGAACCCGCACTGACCAAAGTGAAGGGATGGCGATGCTAACGAAGTAGCTACTTTTGTCGCAATTGCGGGACTCGTCTCTTCCACACCACTCCGGTGAGCAGACTACCCATGAGGTCTGGCTCCAGTATACTAATAAATATTCTCCAGACCAAGAACGTCGTTTCCATCAAAGGCGGCTGCATCTCCGGCCTGGACTGGTCGAAAGCAATCCACATCTGGACGAACCAGGCCATGGTGCCCATCCCCGAGGACGCAGAGTCGTACCCAGAGGAGGCGCCCCCCTCGGACCTCTCCTCGCGGCAGTCGTCGTCGTCGTCGGCTGGCTCGTGGAACGGCAACGGCAACACAATCGACATGCTGGACCAGCCTGGGCTTCTGACAGGGAGCGGCGACTGTGACGTGACGGCCCAGACGGCGGACGCGCTCGGGACGGTGGAGGACTGGAAAGCCGTGCACGGCAGAGAGGGCATCCGGGGCGGCTGTGAGCTAAGCGGTTGAGAGCCTCAGGTAAAGCAGTTTTGGGTGAGAAACCTCAATCACGGACCCGGTGCTCGCTCACGCAGCATAACGCTGCCACGCAATGCATCCACAGGTCTCGACCACCTTGGGAGGACATTGGCGATACGCCGCCGGCCCAAGGAAGAAACAGTGAGGCCACACATAGGTAATATGGCAAGAAACATTCGTACCACTTCTTTCCACTGCCATGGCGAGCTCGCACTGCCGCGCGACTTGGCACTCCGGCAGAGTCGCAGCACCGTTTCATATCGCGACAAGCCTCGTTTGAGCCCCTCGGGAGACGACAAGGACTTCCATGAGCGCGTCTGGATTAACGTACAAGAGAGACTCAAAATTCTCCCGTTCCGCCATCTGGTCTTGCCACTCATGTGTTCTGTGCAGTCATTTCGCTTCCACGCTTAATAATTTGTCCTTCGTTCAATTCTTGGCGCTGGTCGCCCTCTCACTCATTGCACTACTTACTACTGGATTCTAGCTGGCCTCGCACCTCATTATCTTTTTTTACGCAATTACCGGCATTTCAGAAGCTTCCTGATATTGAAGAAAGAATTCTCGGAACTATGCGTCTTCAAGTGTGCCACATGCTGCTTGCGGCCTTGCATCTCACCCATGCCGCCGTCTTCCCCCGCGTGAACCTGGCCAACCGCCGCGCTCTTCTGCCAAACGACCATGACGCGCGGGCTGTCGCGGACGGAAGCAACCCAATGATCATCAGGGAGACGGTCACCATCCGAGAGGGATGCACAGCGACGGTGGAGAAGCGACAGGATGACAGCGGCATTCCCGCCGATGCTTTTGAGGGGTGAGTCGAGGCTGTGTCTCGCCGAGTGCATCAGTAGCAGCTGACATGGACTATCTTAGGCTTCGCGTGTCATTCGTCACCGAGACCGTGACCGCGTCCCAGACCCAGGAGCGTGCGACGGAGACTGTGACGGTCAAGGGCGACACCGTCACGGAAACCAAGGAAGCAGTCACTGTGACACACGTAGGGGAGTCGGCTCAGACCGCTGAGCCTGCTGAACCCGCTGCGCCTGCTGAACCCGCTGCGCCTGCGGAGCAGTCACCCGTCGTGAGCAAGGTGAGTTCTTCTTCCTTGAGATTTCTGGGGTCTAAACAGGTACTAACGACGGCAGGGCGCAACAATCACCGCGCCAGGGTGCCTCGAGACCCCAGCGGCTGGTGAACCAGCGAGCTCCCAGACACCCGCGAGTCCCGGGGGCGCGTCGGATGCTGTTGAAGGAGGGGATAAGGGCATTGTGATTGTGCCGCTTGACGAGTCAAACGTGTCGAGGACGACGTTGACGTTTGATCCTCTCGCCACGTCCGAACCTGGTGCGAGTCTCGAGGCTAGCACGGGTCTCGAAGCTGGTACGAGTCTTGGTCGCCGACGTTAAAAACCGCCGGTCCGCTGACCGACCGACACAGGTGAACCTCCCGCTTCCGAGTTGCCTCTATCAACGTCAGTGTCTGAAGAAGGGGGAGGGGCACCTCCTGTCACAGTGGTCCCGGCGCCGGCGGCCCCTGAGTCCACCCCCGAATCAACAACCCTTGCTTCCACCACTGAGCCAACAACCATTGCGTCCACCACTGAGCCAACAACACTTGCGTCCACCACTGAGCCAACAACACTTGCGTCCACCACTGAGCCAACAACACTTGCGTCCACCACTGAGTCAGAGACTATCGTGGAGACGGAGGCGCCCGTCGCAAGTGAACCCCCCACGGCTGAGAAGCCTGCAGAGAGCGGATCGTCGGGTGGCATGTCGGGTGGAGGGAATGAACAGGAGCAGGACCAAAGTGACGGCGGCAGCAACAACCTGCCTGACCCGTCGGCCCCGGCTGACGAGGCAAACCAGGGAGAAGAAGTCCAGCTGCCCCCCATCGACCTCTCGACATTCAGTCTGGAGAGTCAGCTCGACCTGGGTGGGTTGGTTCGGCGGACGGCGGCTCCAGAACCAAGTCAGACGTAGCGGAGGGATGGATGTTAGATAAATAGACAAGAATACCCCCATCATTTCGTTTTGACGGTACCTTTTCCCACAACCTCAATAGTTTCCCTGCCATAACGCCGCATTCCAAGTCTAGGGGTATCATCATGATGCCTCGTCATCGTGCCGACCAGAACCAGTCAAGCTCTTCATTTCGGTGCCTCTCTTGACACAACCTTCATCTTCTTATTCTTCTTGTCCGCATTGCCAGCCTCCTTGTCGCCCTTCCTCTTCTGCTTCGGTTCCTGTTTTGCTGCTGCTGCTGGTTGCACCTCATCGGGACCCTTGTCGGCGACCTGGACAATGTCGACGACGCCGCGGAACCCAGTCCTCTTCATAGCCTCGTTCACAACCACGCTGCGCGGCACGCTGCCCAGGCCTTCCATGCCCTTCTCACTGCCCAGACCCCACACGCTGAGTAGGTTCACGACGTCGGCCGGGGCTCGGAGCATGAGCGCGCTCCGTGCTTCGCTGGCCAGCATGATGCCCCGCCCGCGGGTGGCGCGGATGAGCTGCGTCGCGTTGCTGATGAAGAGCGCCCGGCCGCGCGCATCCGCCTGGAGCGCCTGGGCATACGCAATCTCAAACCGCACGCCGCGGTTGACGGCCATCATGCATGGCTTGATGCGGAAATAAAAGGGGTGGTGCTGGGTCAGGTCGAGCGAGATTATGGACACGTCCAAGCTAAGGCATGCCTTGGAGAAGGCCTCGTCGCTCGTGGGGCGGACGGCGATGATGTCAAAGATCTTGATGAGGTTGGCGAGGTGGATGTGCTGCGTCGCGGCGTCGGAGAAGTGGATGGTAGCGCGGTGGAGGATGTTGGGAATCGCTTTGCCGTCGAACGAGGGGAGCTGGGCAAAGGGTGAGTCGACCTTGGTGGAGGGGACGGTCGTGTAGATGTGGTTGAGCGCGACGGTGTGGTAGCCGAGGGTGGAGGCGAGGGTCAGCGTCGACGACAGGGCGGCCTCTGACGTGGAAGCGGAGTACGGGATATTGAGGTCGTAGAGCATCGTGGCGGTCGCGGACCCATTGGGTCGAGAGAAGGTGGTGCCTGAGGCTGGTGGTGATGGACGACTGTCAGATCAGTTCGACTGGAGCTGGAGGAAAATGTTCAAGAAGCACAGTGTGAATAGAAAACACTGTGTGTTCCAGCGCCAATCTTACAGTGCGCAGAGATGACGCACTGGTGGATCCTCGACTTTTAAGCATCGACGCTGGCGTGGGGCTGAGTGCGTCGAGCTAAGCCACATTCGTCCTCGTCGCCTCCAAGATTCAAGGATCGCGAACGGCCGATGATGCGTCAACATGAACTGTACATATCGTTACTATTGCCTGATCTCCTCCTTCTCTACTACTGCTTTTCTCTTCTTCTCAATATCCTCTGCCTAAACACACAATCTCACGACGACAGCCGCCTCCTGACAGCGCGACAGCTCGACAGCAAGCAACACTTTGAGCACCTAGCAAGCAACGCGCGGCCGAACCACCCAGTACCTCACAGCACATAAACGACCTGCTCGGCACAGCACTCGCCCATCATGTTCTTCTTCTTCGTCTGCGGAGAAAAGACCATCCGTAGCAAGCTCCCCGGCTACGAAGGCGTCGTCTGCCAATGCCACAACTGCGGCAACATGTCAGGACGCGTCCTCAAGCGCCGGCCCTTCTTCACCTTTTGCTTCGTCGTAAGTCCCCCAAAACGCCCGCACCTACACGTACATACACGATGCTGATTGCCCCCCGCTCATAGCCTATCATTCCATTCTCCATCTCCGGATACAAGGACATCTCCTGCCACATCTGCAACTACAACCAGCCCCTCGAGCAGCGACCGGACGTACAAGCCATGGCGAATGGCGGTGCGGGCGCCGGTCCCCAGCGCGGGCCCGATCCCAGGTCCCAGCAGGGACACTTCAACCCGCAGCAGCAACAGTACCAGGGACAGGGTCCGCCACCGGGACCCCAAGGTTGGGGGAAGCAAGGGCCGCCTCCTCCTCAGGGAGGCCATCACTACGGCTAACGAAGAGAAGCCGTGAGAGGGCATATTGGCGTTGAGGCAGTGCTGTAACGACAACGGCGTAATGACTGGGGGCGTGGGATGGGACGGCTACGGCGTAAATGGGCTTTTCGAGATTGAACTGGTCAGGACGGTGGTGCTCTGATCTGGACGTTGTGAGCGGGGCGTGTTGGTATGTGTGTTATGCTCTTGATATACCCGTTCTTCCTGGCCTTTTGTTAATCAGGCTTCAATCCATGCTTTATCTCGTTGCAACTTGGTTCTTGTACATGCTCGTCTGGCGTGCATCATTCCCCTGGGTTTAGGGACTTGGGGCTCTTCGTTTCCCCCGGTGCACCGCCTGATATGGGCAGCGACACCTTCAACATCTCAAGGTAAGAGAGGGTATCTTTATTGCTCTGTGCATACGCAATGCTATCATCCAAATCAAGCGCCCGAGGGCCCCGAATGATCCTGCCCGCTCATCTTCAGACTCTCCTCCATGGCTCTCCTCAGATCTTCGTCGTCCACATCATCATCCTCCGCTCTGTCCTTGCCTTTGGCTTGTTGCTGATTCCTATATTCCTCCTCCGCAAGACTCTGCTTCTTGATGTACTCTAGGACAATGTCTTCTTCCGTGCGTTGGCTCTGTTGCTTCTCGGCATCGGCCTTGGAAGCTTCCAGGGCTTGCCGGAGCTCGGCATCGTCTGGCGAAAAGTCCGAAGCAGGAGTGTCCCTGGACGCGGCGATGGCCCGCTTCAAGTCTTCATCCTGATCATCCATGACGCCAGATTGCTGTCCATTACTGGAGTGCATGACAGGGGTTGAGTCCAGTTCGGCTGCCCCCATGTCCGGGGGGGTGTAGCCCGGAAGGGCGTGACTCGCCATGCTGTCTCTGATGGTTTGCTCAATGAGATCTTGATACTCCTCATCCGTGATCTGGAACGCTTCGTCCTGGAAGATGGAAGGGTCCTTCTCCAGCTTCTCCGACTTGCGGGGCACCGGATCGGGCAACGCGCCTTGCTGCCGCACGGCCAGCACGCTCTCGCGGATGGCCGCCTCGATGGCGGCATCCTCTTCGGCATTGCCCCGGGATGTCTCCTTGACCGATGCCTGGATAGCCCTCTCGAACTCTGCATCTTCAGGAATTGGTGCCATCCCGGACGCGCCACTGCTTCCGAGCGTGGCAGTGGCGTCACTCGATACCCCTTTTCCTGATGGGCCCCGAGAGAAGAGTCGTTGCTTCTCGCTACGCAATCGCTCGTCAAACGTCGACCGTCGTGAATTGAGCCAGGACGCACGGGAGGAGGCCTCGGGGTGTCCGTCGGCAGCATTCTCGGCGTCGGGGCTCGTCTTGCCTCGTTTTTGAAGGCGCTCGAAACGCTTCAGGTCTTTTTCGAAGGACCCGCTCTTCCACCGACTGACCACGTCCTGGCGCTCTTCGGCAGATGCAGTCCTCAAGTCGCGTTGCCCTTGGAGCACTCGTGAGATCAAGATGTGGTTGTGGTTGCTGCGGGCGAATAATTTGGTGATCTGAGCGTGGACACCTTTCATCGTGTACGCCGGTATTCCCCAGGCGCCTGTGATACAGCTTGTCAGTTGCGTCCGCACCAGAAACGAGACCAGACTTACCGGCAGCAGGTTTGGTTATTATACCGCCAATGCCCTTCCCAAATCCTTTGACGAAACCGCCCATGCCCTCCTTCTCCGCGCCTTTCAGGGGTTGGGTCACTAACCCCGAGATGCCGTCAAACAGGCCATAGCCAAATTCTTTCCCAGCAACCTTGAGGCCGCTGCTGATGTCCGTCACCTTCTCCACCGGTCTCACGGTATCATCGTTGTACAGAGTCGGTACATTGCGGAACCCTTTCGCCAGCCCGAGGCAGAAGTTCATGGGTGACTTGACGCCCGTGCCCACAATTTTGCCAACACTTTTGCCTGCGCCAACCGCAGCATTCAGACTGAACTCGCCTACAGGTGATGAGGACCGTCGCTCGTTGAACGCCTGGTTCAGCTGCGATCCCGAGGCCCTCGATGTTGTTGACGGACGAGCCGCGCTTGTAGCTGTAGTGTCGCTCGAAGCGGTGTAGGTCGATGCAGCATCTCCGACGGAAGAGCTGGGACCGGCGGTCGAGGACTGGGTGGTCTTGTCGGAGTCGATCAGGCCCAACTCAGACCTGGATTCGGCAGTGAAAGGGGTATCGTTAGCCTCATTAGTCCGAGGCCTGCTTCCAGCTTCCGATGGAGGTGTCTGAGGTTCGGTAGTCTCCTCACTCTTCTTTGGACTTGATTTGGACCTGCTTTTAAGCATCTCTCGTGGCATGTCCGCAATCGCCATGCCGATGCCCGTCGCATCCATCACAAGCGAGCTGGCAGCTGCGGATATGGGATCCGGAGGTTGCGCCTCCGTGTTGTAGTCTTTCGGCTGATACCTGGATTGGTCAGCCTTGGACTTCGTGTCGTCGGGGGTAATCGAGAGGGAAACTTACAGTTTCAGGTCCTCGTATTTGATGAGACCTTCTTCGAAGAGCGCCGCGGCTGCCAGTGCACTCAGACGCACTTTACTTCTCCTTACGCGCCACACGGCTGTCCTACTGGGAGCAATCGAACACCGCATATCGTCAATATCCAGATGACTGTGGAAGCTTTGTCCGCCAACGTCAGTGCCCTTTTCCTCCCTGATCTTTTCGCCATATGTCTCGGCTTGCTGGACGGTCTCAGCCTTCAGGCAGAACTGGATAGCTTCGGCCAGCTTCTCGGCCGTCAGCTGCTTGTAGGGGATGGGATCCGGGCCAGCATTAGCGCGGGCAATCATGGCGCCCCAGAAAGGCTGGTCGCCAAAGAACGGGACCACAAGCGTGGGTTTTCCAGCCTTGATACCCGCGGCAGTCGTCCCGGCGCCGCCATGATGCACGACGGCCGACACCTTCTGGAAGAGCCAATCGTGTGGGACGTTACCCAGCATGAAGACACCATCCGGAATACCAAGGTCATCGGCCCCAAGCCCACCCCAGCCTTTCGATACAAGAGCGCGTACGCCACTGGCCTTAACTGCATCGAAGATCATTGTCGTCATGGCATCAGGATCGTCGACGACAATGGAGCCAAAGCCTATGTAGACCGGGGGCGGCCCTGCATCGAGGAAGGCCTGAAGGTCCGGATCCGGGTTATAGGAAGTGGCGAGGTCGAGAAAGAAGAAACCCGAAATGTCAATGTGATTGCCCCAATCATTGGGCTTCGAGATGAGAGCAGGAGACCTGAAAGAAAGGGGTCAGCGAAACTCCTGCCGACACACAGGGGCTGCCCAACTTACCAACAGTAGGTGTACGGCACCTTGAGCCTGTTCAGCAGCCCGGGCGCCCAAATTAAAGACAATGGCTCCAAGTCGAGTACTTTTTCTCGGAACCGATTGATGACATCTCCCAGACCTTGCCAAGTCATCATCTCGACCAGAGTGTACGACAAGTACCGAGTTAAGACATCATCGGCATTTGACGCCTGAATGTCAGCAAGCGGATGGGGGAATGCCCTCGTAGGAGTCCACGGCATACTTGAGAATTGTCAGCTGCGTCAGCTGCATGTTCCATAATTCGGGGCCTTGTGGTCTACTCACGTGAACATCATATGTAGAGGGATGCCTAGCTTCTCTGCAACGTGGATATGCGCAAAACTCGGCGGGTTGGCAATGATGGCATCTGCCACGAAAGCGTCCCGGCCATCATCATGTGGTATACCTGCCGACAGGTCCAGGCTCTCATTTGTCGGCGGCGGCGCGGGACCGAGGCCGTCACCACCCTCAATGCAGGACCTCCAGCACCCGACGAGCATTTCCGAGATACCTTTGCGTCGCTTCGTCACCTCGCCGCTCTTGATGGCATCGAAGCCGGGCATGAGCCCGGGGTGTTTGACCATGAACGCCATGAGCTCGGCGGGGTCGCCTCCAATGCTGAAGAACTCGAGGCTGTTTTGCTCGACGAAGGATTGGAACGTGGGATGGGTCGCGATTCGGACGCGGTGACCGTAAGTCTCCTTGAGCACCTTTCCAAGCGCCACAAAGGGCTGCACATCGCCACGAGATCCGACAATCTGAATGACCACATTGAGCTTGGGCGGCGGCTTCTGTCCAGGTTGCCCACCTAAGCTAGGGGGTATGTACGCTGGAGGGAGTGTAGTGGGGGCGCCTGTGCTGACTTGGTTCTCGATGGCCGGAGCGAGAAGGTCGGCAAGCTTTCGGTTCCTCGTGTTGATGTTGATGCTCACACGACCGGCGTCTGAGGCACGTTAGTCGAGTCCGATTCACGATCAAGGGGTGGTTCTCACCTGTCACGGCCGCCCCCGCCTCGAAGCCTGGTTGTGAGAAGTGCATCTGGTTTCTCTCATCGCCGTATGCAGGAGGCGCCTCCGTCGGCTGGCCTGGAGAATCGTCCAGCTCGGGGACCAGGAAGCCATCTGGCACCACTTGTGCGACGCTTGGTCCAGATCGGGCAGGATTTGTTTGTGTATTTGATCTTGTGGAAGATGTCGCTTCATCTTTGGACCCTGGTGACATGATGATCTGATATGCCACTGTCTAGCTCCTGGTGTTTCTGGAATCCAAAGGAAGCTTGCCTTCGTTGGTGCGAAGAGCAAGCTGTATATGTAGATATTTCGATCACTGCAAATTAGTATTGTACAACGGGCAACGGCATGTGAAAATTGACGCCGGTCCCGATATTCGTAGTTGCCGCTGGCGTGGCTGCTCAGCCTCACTGAGCTACTTGGCCCAACGTGTCGCACCCGGGAAGCTTGATGCACCGTGCGTCCGGGCTGATCGTCGTGAGGACAGCCTGCGAATACCGGCGGTGTTTCAAGTGTTATTGACAAGAAACGACAATGATATTTGAAGTCCCAGGCACCCAGGCAGCCTGTGAGTCTCTGCGCGCGTATGCGTGTATGGGGTGGTGGTGATCGCGGTGGTGGGGTAGGCCTTGTTGAGAGAGGAATTGAACGAAGCGAAGAATCACACCAGGGTCGACGCCGATGTCTGACAACGAGTTTGATCTGGTTGATGCTGTACAAAGACCAAAAGGAGACAGCAGGTCAATTACCTAGATACAGAATGTGACTTTGCCTGCCCTGTGGTTTATCGCAGGTTAAATGTGTCGGAGCGAGAGTCAGTCTTCATGAGTGAAAGGCGGGGTGGAGATTGGGGACTGGAGACAAGGGAAAGTACGATGATGATGGTGTACCTTCTTCGCCTCCAAAGCATCCAACATTCAGGTTTTGGGGACGATCGTCATCAGATCCCCTGAATCCGCGCCGCATTGAATCCAGTCATTTAGGGTGTTGGTTCTGTGCCATTGCATCATTGTTTGGTGCGCTCTACGGATACCGGTGCCACAAGGCTGCCTTTTTAGAATGCACAGCCTCGCGACAGCTTCTACCTAAAATACGGTATCCCTAGTCTCATAGATCTATGCCAAGGATTATCACGGCTATGTTACTATGTACGCATGTCGCTTGCGCGGCTGCGCCTTTTGCATTGACCCTGGTCGGAGAATCCGCGTATGCGAAGCATTTCCGACTGATGCGAGAGCATTGCTCGCTATCAGCCGCACTTCCGAACCCGTACGAACTTAGCGAGCTCACATTAATTACTATTACGAATATTCGAGGCAACACATGATCGCTCCCCTTCTTTTCATGTTCCACAGGCTCAGCGCTGCTCCAACATCAGGCCCCTTGCCAACGACATGTCCACCAATGCGCTTGACGTGCTGATAGAAATGCTTATGCCTAGGCCCCCCAGATCGGAGGCCTTGAAAGAAACCAGCAAAGCAGCCATAGTTCTCATGCCATCAAAACCAAGAGGAGACGTCAGACGTATATCCAGGAAACTGCGTCTTGTCATCAGCACAATCCGGCAGCAACCAGACAGAACTCCTCACACTTACAGTGTTCTTGGCTTTGCCCAATCCAAATCTCCTCATCAAGTTTGTAGCCGTGTCCTTGGCCCAGCACCATGACGAGCGCCACGGGTGCAACCTCTTCTCCCTTCGATGCTTCTTGGTCCGTTCTGCGGCCAGCGCAATGAGCGTCCCCGCCGCGCGCGCCTGGATGAACTCCCTCCGGTTCGAGTAGTCCTCCGTGTTTTCCACCGTACAGCGTAGCGATGGCGCGTACTCTACATGCTCATGTAGCGTTACGTGGCTCGCGCTCCCTGCCTGGTACCTGTCATACGCAGGGGGGTCCTCGGCAGGCGGCCACGTACGAAGATTGATAATTCTGTCCAGTGGACTGAGACTGTTCGTGCTTATTGTCTGAATGTGGCCGACGTCTCGTGGTGTTGGGACACAGTTCGCGTCTCGTGGTGTGAACTCGTTGGATGGCCGGCGCTCCCTGTCCCTTGCCCCTTCAGTATGCTCGGGCATTCTTTCGGCAGCCAGATATGGTCTTGATACGGCCGCGCCTCCATCATCTTGCGCGACATTCTCTCCCACGAGCAGCGGCGGGCCCGTCACTTCATGGTCGTTGTGTTCTGGTATCGAGGAAAAGGTCGGGGTGAAGCCCGTGTTCACCGGAACCCTCTCCCTGTATATCTCATCCGTCATGACGATATGCGAGGCGTCCCAGTGCTGTCTCAACGGGCTTTCTGTGGTCGACTAATCTGGAAGAAAGGTCGCCTCACCACGAGGACTCGTGTGGGTTAGGGCTCTGACAATGTTAACCTTTTGTTCGGTCCCGTACGCCTCACGTTGGCTACGTCTCGCACTTATAAGCTTTGGGGCGGCACCATACAACCCAAAGACTCCATGCTGAAGTGTGCATTTCCCTCTAGGCGTTCATCCTGTACCATAAGGATGCACCAGTTACCCAGTGCAAAGAGCTGTAGAGAGACCAAGTCGCTCCCATGATCCAGGTGGAATCCATCACTTGTATTTTCTGGGGGAAGTCCACATGCAACATCGCCGTCCGCAGCCGTTGGCGTTGACTAAACACAGTTAGCTCAGGAACCGGCCATGTTAATATTCATAGACGCGCAGTCACCCGAGCTCCAAGCTGGCGTGTCACGTGGAAGGTCTCTGTGCATGCCCCGTGTCGAATCCACGCAGAAAGAAGTGATAGAAAGGATGTTGAGGCCGGCCCATGGAACTTGGAAAGAAGAGATCGCGACAAATCAGATACCCTAAATTATGCAAGGACCATTGATGGGTATAGTACAGCGGACTTTACTTTACCAAACACATCTATCACTCCCCATGCAACTCCACAGCATTATCCGCGCAAAACCATCCTATCATATGTTGCGGCGGCTTGGGGCGTTGTGAGAGAAGTGAGCGTGTCGATGTGAAGCCATTGTATCTCAGAGGCACCCATACCAGCCTCCATTGCTCCGCGCAGCAACTCCAGCCCAGTTCGACGTTTGACCATTTGACCAGCCTTTTAGCTCGAGAATTTGCGCGTGATCTTGGCAATGACTGTGCGTGGCATGTTAGTACCGAGTCTGGCCGAATCGCTCGCCTCATAGGACAGGAATAACATACTGTGAAGAGCGACGACGCTGAAGATGAAGACCAGAGACAGAACCAGCACGACGACGGGATCAACCTTTAACCCTGCGCTCTCATCGGTGTACAGCTCTATTCCACCCAGTCAGTAATCTTTTCGCCTCCCTTTCCCACTGCATAGCAGCCACCACACATGGGCAACGTACTCAACATTGTGCTTGTCGAGCCACCGGCACCGGCAGACCTGGTGCTCGTCGGGCGCGCATTGGCAATCTTCTCCTTCTGATCGGCGGCGGCACGGCGGCGGATGGCCGTTCGGGGACCGCCGGGGGGGGTGGGCGATGAAGGGCGACCGATGCTGGCGCCGCTGGCAGCGCCAGCGTTGGCGGGCGAGGAGGGTCGGGGGGACGACTAATCGCAGAGAGTGTCAGCCCATATATGTCTCTTCTTCTGCTCGATTGCGAGAGGATGTGCGCATCGGACTGAAGCGCACGCTTAGAGCCAAAGCTCGCGTGAGGCCCATCGGTTGGTGTGGCGCTCTCGCCAATCGCGTCAATCGGGGTCGCATACCATTGTGAGATTTAGGAGTGGATAAAAGATGGGCGTGGTATAACCTCGAGAGAAACTCGAAAGTGAAGCGAAAGAAAGGACGAAGCGTTAACAGAGTGGAAGCTCAATAAGAGGTCGATTGGATCCGTCGAGAGGTTGAGCTGCGGCTGGCTGGTCGTTTGGCTGGAAATTGGGGTCCCTGAATTCAATGTGGCCAGATTCACCACAATGGACAGACGGCCCGCCAACCTGGGCTGGGGAAGGGGGGCCCGCGCCACCGGAACTGGTTGATCCGACTCCGGTAGATGCGCGCTCCTCAGCCCATCATGAAAGAATACCTGGTACGTACTGCACTTTGGTGGTCTTGATTGAGGTTTGGACAGCATTGGTCGAGCATAGAATGAAAAATTACATGGACATTTCCTCTCAATATGTATACTAGTGGTATCACTTCTCCATCCTGCTGTATTCCGCTCATCTTTGCACGACATCGCCCTCTGGCCTCTTCCCGCTGGGACCAACTGTATGCCCATATGAACAGAAAGGAGGGCAGACCAGCTTGACGAAACAAAGTATCCCAACTTCTCCAAACAAATGAAAAGACAGAAAAAGGCTATGGGCAAAGGCGTCAAGAAGTAAGACAAGAAGACCAGCCCCGCTGATGGACATGTGTGTTAGGTAGGGTTCGAAAGAAGGCTCGGCCCTTCTCTTTGCTGGCTGTTTCTAGCACAGCTCCATAGGCACTGTAGCGAGTCGACGCTCCGGAGCAACGACTTTCCCGCGCCTTCTCTGCCATTGCTTCACACCAGTCCGATATGTATCGCCTGGAGAACCGATCCGCCTTGCAGCGACTGGCTTGCCGAGACGGATAGACAAGCCGCAGGTTTCGGACCAGAAGCATATTATGTAAGATTAAACAGTAGCAATCTACACCAGCAACCAGAAGAGGTCTTTGAACCGAACGCCGTCCGCTATGATGCCCGTTCCGTGGGCTGATCTGTGTGCGTGCGCTTTCTTTTCAAACGGCGTTGCCAAGTAGGTAGTAAAGAAATCGCTGTGTGGTATCCGTCAAAGAGTGACGTCAAGAACAAGACTGACATCGGCCACTGTCGACCCTGCAAGATCCTCGAGCACGGGGATCAAGTCCAGCAGCTCGTTGTCGTGGGCATCGGAGAACCAGCTGCTGATAGGCACGGCGTGCTGAGGGTGGAAGATGTACGAGGTGGGCGAGTTATCGATGATGATCGTGTCTTTGAGGTCGCGACCAATCTGCGAAAGGTCTTTCACATAGTTGCCTTGGTGGTTGTAGCAGCTCTCTCTGAACAGCCGATGGTGAATGACCTTATGGATGTCCAGCTGGTCCAGAAGCGGGTCGCCGTACTTAGAGACGGAAGCCGTGAAGACAACGACTTCGTACAGCTCACCAACCCTTTTCATGAACTCATCGACGCCGGGGCGCTTGATGACATACACATTATGGTAGTTTCCCTCAATCTCCACAGGAATCGTAAAGTCCGCTTGGTGTAGTATCTACAGCAAATGTCAGTCAATGCAGTCAACTTTGGGTCAAGAACGCCGACGTACCTTAAACGAACTGTGGACAAGCGTCTCGTCGAGATCCAAGACAAGACACTTTCTCCCCTTGAGCGCAGGAGCCAACGGCGGCAGCAGAGCTTGCTGGGGCTCTGCAAGCGTAATTGTTGTTGTGGCAGGGACAATAGGTGGCGGTGGAGGCGGGATTGTCTCCTTGGTCTCCGGCGCAGCCGTCACAACTGCTCCGTTGGCGGATTCGTCTACGGGAGCATCGCGCATCGAGATATCCTCGGCGGCCGCATGCTTGCTAGCTGACTCGCCATTGTGCGTTTGCGCTTGAGGGGGCTCTATCGTGACAGCAGGAGCAGCGATTTTGCTCGAGCTGCCTTCGACAGGAGCTATCCTATCACCATCATCCGCCGCAGGCGTGTGGTTGTCCTCGACGGCGTGCGACGGTTGCTCGCCCTCCTTCGGATCCGCCGACCTGGCATCTTTCGCATCCTGGGGGGTCTGCGTCCTTGACTTGGCAGTGGCTGGCCTTTGCGGGAGCTTGTCAAGCTTATGGACGTTCTCGGTTTCCCCTTCCGCGTTGTTGCCAGAATCGGGAGCCCCGCAGCAGCCCAAGAAGGATAGGAAACCACCGCTCTTCTTCTTCCTCTTCTGAGCTGGCGAGCTGGGCGCTGTGTTTCCTGTCGAATTCATCGTGTCGCTGTTGTCACCGGTGCGCTTGCTGGATGTGCTGCCGTTGCGTTGACGACCAAGGAAGCTGCGCTTCGAAGTGCGCGACTGGCCGTCGAGACTTGTCCTTGAGTCGCTTATCGTCTGCCCACTGAGTCCTGTAGAGGCGGGCGACGACTGTTTGTGGGAAGACGAGCGCGATGGCACTCTGAGCAGTCCGCGATCTTGGTTGCTCGCACTCACGTCAGGGCCAACTGTGTCTTGGACGTCAGAAGCCTGGCGATCGGTGGGGGGTTGCACGCTCTGTTTCTCGTTGTTCGTAGTCGTGGTTGTCACGGCAGACATAGTGCCCAGAACTAATAAATGCTGTCAGTGGTCATCCAGCCTGCAGCTCAATCGGATGGAATGGGGGCTCGAGTAGATGGTGGGTGCGCCTCGAAGCGTTGACCGCCTGGGGTATTCGACACTTGACGTTGCAGCACGCACGAAAACAAGCGGCTATATGAGAAATGTTCCGCGACAGCGACTGGAAATTGGGGGCAGTGGGAAATAACAGTCTCGCCTGCCAATACTGGCTCTCCTACTGACCTTATTTGACTACTCCGCCGAGCTATCCACTGCTCCAGTGTGAGCGTGAATCGGGCGTATGTCCTCGGGACGATGACCGCAGATCAATATCCGCCTGTTTTCGATCTAGTCCTAGCACAGCTTCGGGGAATCGCGTGTGCTGTAATAGGAGACAATCAGTCCTGTCGTCGGGCTTGTGACAGTGCTGTGTCTTCGAGGTGGATGTTGGGCTGGGCAGCGAGACCAAGAGAGCAGAGACAGCGAGGTGTGGCGCGGCGGGCAGGCCAAGGTTGAAATGAGACAATCGAGGCGCTAGGCGCCTTGGAAGAATGAGTGGAATCAAAAGTTGAAAAGGAGGAGGAAAACACCAGCAGTCTCGTCCGAATGTCGCAAGCCTGGCAATAATTAGAGAAGAGGAAGCAGCAGAGCCCGGGAACAGAATGGCACCTCTGAAGCTTCGCGTTGAGCTCCCAAGATGCAAGATTGACTAAGGAGGATCGCGCCAGAGAGGAGGAGGAACGGGAGGCAGGTGGATGGATGCGGGCCCAGACCAACAGGAAGGTCGGCAGCACAGCGTTGAGTTGAGATATCCGGGGCCGGAAGACAGGCGAAGTGGTTGCTTTGGCTCTCGGGGATTCAGTATGGCTGCAGCTGCAATTGATAATTATGGGGCGATTGAGATTAGCCAAGGTGAGCGGGCCATAGCGCGTTAACGGGAAGAAGCTATCCGCACTGTAGTCCTCGGCGCTACCGGCACCCTGCTACAGTGCGCAATAGCCATCCTGTTAAGCTCTCAACGTGATGCACCATCCCTGCTCATCCGGCCAGCGCTAAGAAATTAGCTGAAGATTGTCCTGTAAAGTCGTCCACTCACTGCAACCATCAGCGTTCGCATTTGACTTGTCCTTGATCTGCGACTGCTATGAGGTTACGAATGTGTGGCGTACATACGGGTGCGTACTTGCGCGCGGCTTCAGCCTCTATGGCACTGTAAAACATCTTCACCTTCAGTTTCACGCCCTCAGCTCTTCAAGTGGTGTTCAGTGGATTGATAGCCAGCTGCTGATGGGCGCCCCTATCGCTACCCTGAGCGGCTCAACTGCTGTGGGGCTGATCCAGCTCCGTAAGAAACAAAAATGACCGACAGACTAAAAGTTAGGTACGTGTACGCAGTACGGACGTACGGTAAAAGGAACCCGTCTTTGCTACACCAGTCAAAATGTAGTATGTGATGGCCAAGTGGTCGAGCGACGGACTGGCACAGCGCACGCGTTGCAGCCTCCTTTCATTGGCTGTGTTGCCGCCCACGACTTCGCATGCGGGCTCGACGAACAGATGCCATTCCTGTTCTTCGCTGCCATTGCCGGTGTATGAGAAACTCCTGGTCGTCTTGAGGGTGCAATGCAACGAGTGATGGCACATGAGTTTCCCGATGAATGGTCATGTAATAAACCTATTGGCGTTGCCCATGACACGGTGAGATGCCCAGAAACAACGCCGTGACACCCCGTGAGGGGACGGCAAACAAAACGCAAGTAGTATTAAAGTATTTCATCCAAAGCCCATGACATCGGATAAGGGAAAGTGCTCTGTAATCTAGACGATAATACAACAGTCCCAGAACATGTAAACAAGGCATTTATGAAATTAAATCCCTATTGCCATTATCCAGAGCTAGGGGCTGAGATGTGAGCTACTACGCATCGCTGGAATAGGGTAGGTCGAACAGCGTGTGGCTGATGGAGCGGCGCCGGCGGGAAGTGCCCCGTACCCCGGATTTGGGCTGTGCTGAGCCTCGGTCTTCACATGCTGTGACGTCCGACTGGAGCGACGAGCAATTGGCCAGCTTCCTTCACATGGGCCAAACCAAAGACCTAAGCCGACAGCCTTCAACATACGACATCACACATTACACCTCAAAACAGCGACTTTCCAAAGCCATCATTCGATCGCTTCCCATAACCGACGACCCAGTCCTTCTCATGCGCACCTAAAGAGCGACTGCCCTCCGGGGAACGTCATCATCTACCATGGCCGTCGTCCAGTCCACGCTGCGCCATACAGTCGCCGAAGCCTTCATCGAGAAATGGACACACATATTGCGCTCCCGGCTAGGCCGTACCTCGCGTCTCGCGCGCATCACCGCAACGCTCTCGCTCCTCATATCCATCATCCTCGGCGCCGAGGGCGGACGCAGGTGGTGGAAGAATCGACGGCATGAGCGCGAGCAAGGGCGGAAGCTAGTCAGGACAAACTCGTGGCTACACAACAAAGATGGGTCCAGGACGATTTATGTCCCGTACAAGGACGGCACGACCAAAGTTGTGATCAATACGACCAAGCCCTTGACGTTTGAGGCGCATAGACGGCTGTTCCTGAACCCTCCGCGCGTGTCAGGGTTGGGAGATGGAACGGTGCCGTCGGCGCAGACCAAGCCGGGACTCAACTTAGCATTTCTGCACCAGTTCCTGAGCTTGATGAGCATCATGCTGCCGAGATGGTCGAGCAAGGAGGCAGGGCTGCTGATTAGCCACGGAGTGTTCCTCATGCTGAGGACCTATTTGTCTCTGGTTGTTGCCCGACTAGACGGTGAGATTGTGCGTGATCTTGTAGCAGGAAACGGTAGACAGTTTCTCTGGGGCATCATAAAGGTACGTCCCCTCCCAGGCAAGCTCTGACAGACACTGTCGCTGACCAGTCAGTGGTGTGGTCTCGGTGGCTTCGCCTCCTACACGAATGCCACAATCAAATTTCTCGAGTCCAAGGTATCCATCGCCTTCCGGACGCGACTGACGAGGTATATCCATGATCTCTACCTCAACGACAACCTGAACTACTACAAGCTCTCCAACCTGGACGGTGGCATTGGACAAGGCGCCGACCAGTTCATTACGCAAGACCTAACACTTTTCTGTGCATCGGCAGCGCAACTCTATTCATCCCTCGGAAAGCCATTTGTCGACCTTTGCGTCTTCAACTTCCAGCTGTACCGATCACTCGGCCCCCTGGCCTTGACGGGATTGCTGAGCAACTACTTCCTCACAGCCAGCATCCTGCGAAGGCTGTCTCCGCCCTTTGGCAAACTCAAGGCGGTCGAGGGTCGCAAGGAGGGCGACTTCCGAAGTCTGCATGCCCGTCTCATTGCCAATGCCGAGGAAGTTGCCTTTTACGGTGGCGCCGAGATGGAGAAGACCTTTCTCAACCGCGAGTTCAAGTCGCTGAAGACTTGGATGGAGGGTATCTACATGCTCAAGATCCGCTACAACATCCTTGAAGACTTTATTCTGAAATACAGCTGGAGTGCCTACGGTTATCTACTCGCCTCGTTGCCCGTCTTCCTACCAGCCTGGGGCGGCATTGGCGGGGCTGCCGAGATGGCAGCTGGAGCGGCCAAGGGCGGCCGGGAGCGCAACCGAATGAGGGAGTTCATCACGAACAAGAGACTCATGCTCTCGCTGGCCGACGCCGGCGGTCGCATGATGTACTCCATCAAGGATCTCTCCGAGCTGGCAGGCCACACGAGCCGGGTGTACACCTTGATCTCGACCTTGCATCGTGTGCATGCCAACGCCTACTACCAGCGCAAGGGGCAAAACGAGCTTTACTCTGCGTCTGACGTGCAAGGGACCATCCAAAAGGGATTCGACGGCGTGCGATTTGAGCATGTCCCCGTTGTTGCCCCTGGACTGTGGCCACAGGGCGGCGAAGAGCTGTTGGAGTCGCTGTCCCTCATCGTTCGCAGTGGCGAGCATCTCCTCGTAAGTTGACCTTATCGTTCCACTGCCGAGTCATGTATAATAACACGCGCTTTTTCAGATCTCCGGGCCCAACGGCGTCGGCAAAAGTGCCATTGCGCGCATCCTCGCAGGCCTGTGGCCCGTCTACCGCGGTCTCGTCAGTCGCCCCAAGAACATTGGCGAAGATGGTATCATGTTCCTGCCCCAGCGCCCCTATCTCAGCCCCGGCACTCTTCGTGATCAGGTGATCTACCCCGATGGCCACCACGACATGCGTCAGAAGCGCAAGAGCGAAGACGACCTCAAGCGTGTCCTGGAGGAAGCCAAGCTCGGCTACTTGCCCGACCGCGAGGGTGGCTGGGACACGCGCAAAGAATGGAAGGATGTGCTGAGTGGTGGCGAGAAGCAGAGGATGGGCTTTGCACGTCTACTGTACCATGAGCCGCAGTACGCGATCATCGACGAGGGCACCAGTGCCGTCTCGAGCGACGTGGAAGGTCTGCTGTATGAGACATGCAAGGAAAAGGGCATCAGTGAGTTCTACCCGACAGGCCAAGGGAATCGCACTGGTTTGGGAACATGCTAATGGATGACTGCAGCCTTGATCACGATCTCGACGAGGGCCTCGCTGAAGAAGTACCACACGTACAACCTGATCTTGGGCCAGGGTGACAACGGCGACGAGTGGGAGTTTGAGCGCATCGGCACGGAGCGGGAGAAGCTGCAGGTCGAGAAGGAGCTGCAGGAGCTGCGCGAGAGGCTGTCCAAGGTGGATGAGTGGAAGACGAGGAGAAGTGAGATTGAGGCCGAGCTTGCGGCCGTGTGGACGGAGGCGGGCGAGTCTCTGGAGGCGCCCTCGTACGCTAAGGACGACGCAGGCGAAGGCGCTGAGGGTGAGACCGAGGGCCAAGAGACGCAGACAGAGGGCGACAGGACCGAGACGGAGGGCGAGACCGCGTCATCATACAAGGCAGGGAGCGAAGGTGTAGAGGTTGAGGCAGTGGACGCCTGATCAGTTGATGACTTTGGGCGTGGGGGGAATGCCATGGTAGAACAAGCTATCTACATGTAGCTATGCGACAGCTGTTGAAGAACGACTGGCAGTGATTTATTCTCTGGTACAAGGATCAATACCCGATGCCACTATGGACAGGCAGGCGCCAAGGATCCGCGGTAATCGACTTGTGAAGCGCTACATGAGCGCTGGCAGCCTCTGGTTGAGCTCGACATCAGCGACCTGGCGCCGCGCATATGACTTGGAGCGACTCGCACAATGTTGTACGTTTACCTACTATGTACGTAGTCTATGTGCCCTGTGATCGCCAAGAATCAACAAGAATGCACCCTTGATTGCGCGCGGCCGTGCTACCATCGTGCAGCCGTGGGCTCGGCACGGCACGAAGTCCCGGTTGGTTGTTCAACTTGCCAAGTGCCGTCAGTCAGAGGCCATAAGTATTTAATGGATCTTCTAGACCACCGCCAAGTTCGAGCCTGGGCGACCTTTGAGCTTCTGGAAGGGGTTGGCTGCCGCGATTGTCAAGAACAGGAACCTCGCGTAACCTATCCGTACGTACATACGCAGTGGCACTACAGTGTGAGAACCTGCATGCCGCCCACACAGAATTCGGCGTCACAGCAGATTCATGTCTTGGTTACCGAGATGAAGCTTGCAGAACGTTGCCCTTGTGGTCAGAATGAAGCCCGACCATGTGATGACGGAACCCAGCGCCTGCGACCAACACCACTGGCAGGCTTCTGATCAATTTCAAGTTTTCACCGAACACCAGTGTTATTAAAGTTTTATTACTCCGCATGGGAGAAATCTTGAAGGAATTGACCTGTAATTGTGACAAGTCCCGGCGAATAGTGAGAAGGACATGGATCGATCATCGCCCTGCTGTAATTAATTATTCCATCCCCTGAAGGGCACCGCTGTTCACGCCCGCCACATCCCGCTGGTGGGGCCTCAGCTGTCAGACGGTCAGACACCATGGGCACTGTAACTTCTTACTTGTATTCTTGCAAGCTTTATTGATTCTTGATGGTCTTCGTGTGAGTCGTGACGAGAATGGCAATGCTCTAAAGGGCACGCGGCACCGCGGGCTAGCCGACGCGGACCTCGTAAGAAGCAAGAATAGGAGGCAGCGACTCATTTGCCTACAGTAGCATGCAACTCAATCCATGCATACAGAGGAGCACGCCATTAACTGCGATGGGGCTAGCGCTTGCAGCGCTGAAAAGGGGCCAGCCGCGTTCCATACCTCGAGGCTGGCTCTGATCAGTGTCGGACCAGGATATCAGGATGGCAGAGATCGACATGGCGAGTGGAAGATTTCGTGTTGCCATGACGGTTGCACTGGGTGTCCTATCACGATGAAGTCTACCGAGTTGTCCACAGACTGAATTGAATGACTAAATCCGGCGCAAAAGGCAGTCGCGTTGTTTCGTGACGCAGTCAGAGCAAGTTAGATCTTGGGCCTGGCCCGGCCTGCAGAGTTTTGCTGCAAGCGTTGAGCATCTCTAATTATAATATTGAATGCCGTTGAAACCTGTTCGTGACAGCCAGGGGAGAAATTTGCAGCCTGCGCCTGATAAGAGGGCGGGCACTCCGATACCTCTCTTACATATATCAATTGACATTTATCTTGATTACTATCTGACATACGGAGACCTGATGGGGCAGAGACGATGGAGATCTCCAAAGCCCCTCGAGGCTTGGGATCTTCTGTGAACGTGCCCAGGTAATCAGACCAGCCACTGGACAGTCTGGACTGGACTGGAGTCACTGGACTGGAACCTGGGTGGGTGGGTGGGTGATTGCGCGGCAGACCGCAGTGGCTGGCCAGGCCTCCAGCCGCTGCCCTGCATTCACGCCACTCCAGTCCCGAATGGAGCCTGCTAAGGTATGGGACTGGACCCCTTGTCTACTAGCGGTCTCGTAAAGAAAGGAACAATTCGAGGCAACCTTACGGACCTTCGTGCTCTTCCTCCCTGGTCTTATCATCGACGGCAAAGGGATTCTAAAATACGGATACCTGACCTGGTCTGGAATTTACTGTCCCGGACTCCCGCTCCCCTCCACCCCATCCATCCCTTTTCGCCCACTCCGTCCTGCGTTGACGATTCCTCATCCTTCTTTCTTCTCGATCCCTCCCTCACCGTTTGGCTCGACGGACTCGAAACTGCTGCGCAACCTCACATCCCAATCGCCGCGACAGACATGGCGCCGCAACCTGTGAGCGGCGGTATCCTGAACCCGCGCAACCTCAAGCGCGTGGGTGTCGGTGCCGTCATCTTCTTCACGACCATCATCTTCATCACCATCCTCACACGCATCTTTGGCGGGACCGTCGCGCCCGAGGTGCACTTTCCTCAAAAGTTCCTCAACAGCATAGGCCAGCACCAGTCCTGCGTGTCGCGCGAAGGCGACCAAAATCCGCTCACGGCCCTCGACGCAAAATATGCCCATCTGAGCGACGACAAGTTCACGTACGTTTTTTCCTCTCTGCTTCCCATGGCTTGGCTCGGCTTGCGCGTGCAGCGTGGGTTGGCGACGCACGCACGCACCCTTCCGTTGGCTCCCTCCCCCCCATGACCCCGATCAATCGCTTGGTATTTCTTGGCTGTGCCCCCAAAAAAATCAAAAAGCTTAATAGGCCGCCAAGGCGTGACAGTGACTAGCGGCTAACAATGGGTGCAGAATTGCCATGCAGACATACAAGCGTCCCAAGGAGCTCCAGGCCACGATCAAGGCCCTTACGGATCGCACTGAACGCATTCCCTCGCTCGAAGAACTCGTCGTTGTCTGGAACAATCTCGAAGAGGAGCCCCCCAAGGACTACGTCTCCAAGTCCGGCGTCCCCATCCGCTACCGCATGTCCGCCCGCAACAGCCTCAACGAGAAGCTCATCCCCGACCCGGCCTACAAGACCAAGGCGATCCTGCTGACCGACGATGACGTCTACTACGAGCCCGATGACCTCGAGTTCGTCTTCCAGTCGTGGCGCAAGTTTGCCCAGTACCGTCTCGTCGGCGCCCTCCCCCGTTGCTCCGAGATGCGCGACGGCGAGTGGAAGTACGAGTTCTGCACCAACAAGTCCGGCCAGAAGCACTACTCCATGATCCTCACCAACCTGTGCTTCTCGCATATTGCCTTCCTCGACTACTACTCGTCCGACGCGCCCGAGGCCGTCAAGATCCGCGACTACATTGACGAGCACTTCAACTGCGAGGACATTGCGCTCAACTATCTCGCGTCGAGTCTCACCGGATGGGGCCCCCTCGAGGCCAACGGCTTCGACCGCTACCGCAACATGGACCCCTCCGAGGGTATCAGCCGCAAGCCTGGCCACCTCGAGGCGCGAAGCCAGTGCCTCAATGACTTTGTCGACATCTTTGGCTGCCAGCCTCTGGTGGACGAGACATCGCACATTGTCCGCGGTCTTTCCGTGCTGTAAAAGCAAGAGTCTGATCTAATTCTTTCTTTCTTCCTTGTCAAAATTGCATAGGCCCGCGTGCAGGGCACCGTTTGTCTTCGCATACGCATTTACACTAGGGCGGCGTTCTGTTCTGTTTTGGTATTTCTTCCCGTCTTAACGAAATTGGCGTGGAATATAGACTCGGTTGCTGGACATAGGAAGGGGGGTATGTACTGTCACTTTTCACGTTTGGGTCGAGATGAGCGTATGAATCTATTGTCTGATTGAAGTTGATATGGATATGGATTAATTGACCTAATTTACTCCACTTCGATGCGCAGCAACCAACAACAAGTGAAAGTCCTTTCCAGCCGTAGACTGACGCGAAGCTGAGCAACAGCCTAGCACTCGAAACCAGCTACCTCATCAAGCGATCCTATGAGGTCAAAGGCGCAGTGTCTCGACCGTTGGAAGCCACCACGTTTTCCCGAACAGCCAGTCTCACCTTTAATCGAAGGCTGGATTGCCAGCCAGAAGGTGAGTGACTGACTGCAGTGTGGGAGAGGGAGGCGGCTGCATCTCGACGCTAGCGTCCCGGAAGCACGAGTTTCCAGCGCCAGGCTCGTCAGCTCCAGCCAGTCCAGTCTTGGTGCGAGAGAGCCTAACGTTAGTCTGAAGGACTGAATGGATGATGGATCGTCCTCCTCCCCGCGCCCTTGGCTGCGCGGGCATGGTATAACAATGAATAGATCCCGATCGCATTCGTCATGGTGCCTCGATCCCTTTGCAGCTCGTCTCCGCCAGGGACACCCGGTCGCGCTTCCAAGGGATTGACCGTCGCCGCGCGCATATGCGTGCTCAATACTATCAAATACATTTGAGCTTCCAATCCAGCGACTGTCTCAAAACGTGTAGGCACAGGCGCATTGGAGTGAGCTCAGACATACAGAGGAGCCCGCGCCCACCCCTTGTCTCGCCCTGCCACGCCGGGGAGGAGAACTACTGCAGGAGAAGGGTTGCTTCGTCAAGGGGAGGAGAAATGGTGAAGGGGATTTTCTAAAAGGGGATATAAAGAGCAACAGAGAGAACAAGCGCGGTTTGGATGCCGATTGTTGCCGATTGTTCACAACTGCGACGTACTTCCTGCTAACTACCAATTTGTTTCGCTGCGAGGACAAGGAGAAGTCCGCGACCGACCACAGAGATCATCATGTCACCACCCAGACCCTCGCCGTTGCGGGAAGCACACGATGGCTCGTCATCGCAGCGCAGCGACAGCCTGCGCTCCTCCTTGTCGGCCTCCTCCCTCTATCAACCCATGATGCCCCCCATAGCTGAGCACGAGACACACCACAGCAACCGCTACTCTCAGGTCTACAACCGGAATATCATATGGCCACAGCCAGGCACCCCTCTCCGCGTACCGAGAAAGTCGCCTCGAAGGGCGCTGGCGAGGAGTCAGGCCCTGGCGGCGGCCGCGGCCGCGAGAGCAGCCGAGGGATCGATAGGGGAGAAGGATAGCAACTGCATGCCGCCTCCGCCGTACGGGAATACTTCGCCACCACGATATGGCGAGGATGTCAAGGGGGCGGCTGCAGCTGGAGGACCAGCTGGCGAGGAGAAGAGTAGCTGGAGAGAGAGACAGTGGTTCGGCCGGCGAAGGACAAGATGGTGTCTCTCCGGACTGTTGATCATGATACTTCTTGGGTTGATTGTCGGCTTGTCCGTTGGGCTCACCTTGGGCCGGAAGAATGGGTATGCTCCCCGCCCTGGGCCAGGCACTACACTTCATACTGACACTTCTCTTCCCTAGGGGCGGCAGCTCAAAGAGCGACGGATCTACCCCAGAGCCATCGAAACCGGTGTTCCCCGAGGGATCGTACTCCTTCGAGACCACCCTCCAGCGCCAGGCGACGTCCTGCACATCTCGCGAGTCGACGTGGCGATGCTACCCGTACAAATCCGGGTCGAACGCGACCTTTTTCTGGATCCTGTCGACCTCAGAGGATAATGACCTTGTGGTCACGTCGTCCGAGAATCCCTTTGCGCCCACCTTTGCCAATCTGACGACCAAGCTGGAGGACAAGGGGTCCGCCAACGAGAGGGTCACCTTTGAGTTCGACATGGAGAGGACAATCGTGCCCAGCGACGCTCTCACCTCGGCGAACCGCGCGGCCAAGTGCACGTTTCTCGATACGAAATTCCAGGCTACGCTGTGGACGCGACGGGGCGTGACGGGCAACCCGGACGCCCAGGCCAGCGACAAGTTCCACGCGTGGCCGGGCGACGTCGAGATCACGCAGACGAAGAAGGCGGTGCTGGGCCAACCCGAGTGCGTGGACGACAGCGGCGTCAAGATTGCCGATGTGCAAGCCGGCAGTGGGGATTGCGTGTGCGACTATGCGAACTTTGAGCTTTGATTGACTTGGGACTGGATATTTGAAACGACATGATACCACGGAGGGACGGGAGGAGTAATCTTTGTTTTCAGGTAAACGGGCAATAAATAGTATACGCTAATAGTTCTAATGCGATGAGAATGGTAGTACACGAAAGCAACAAGCACTTGCTTGCTCGGAGTTGAGCAAGGCCAGCTCAACAACCATCTACGATTTTGTCCAGGGCAGTGATATTATATTGCCCGCATTTCTTTTGTACTTACGCAATCTCACTCGAGACGTCTTGCTGAGGCAGCCTGGGGCGGAATCTCACCAGAGGACGCCTTGCAGCCGCATCCTGAGCACCCTTTTGGGGCTCGAGATCGATACGAGCCCTCTTGTGGTGGTGTCCATGCTGTGCCCCGTCTTCTGCCGAGGCGGTGTCAGTGTCCATGGCAGATGTATTCTTACGCTTGGTACCGCGCACGGAGGAGGCGTCTTTCATGGTGATGTCTTCATCTTCATGTTTGCCGTCGTGCTCATCGCCGCGGTTGCTAGGCTTGAGCGTCAGTTCAGTGCCGCCCTCCTCTTTGGCGTCCTGGGTGTCACCCTCGTCATTGGGGTCGTCCTCGTTCGGGCTGTCTTCTTCTCCACTGTCGTCGTCATCACTACTACTATCGGGATCAGTGTCACCATAATAAGAGCCGGAGCACCCGATGGGTTTCTTGATGCGCTCCCAGAAGGCCTCGGCCTCGAGGTCCATTTTCATCGCCCCCTGGCGCTCGTACAAGGCAACCTTGGGCAGCAAGTCAGCCGGTGAAGGCCGGTTACGGGGATCCTCAGCAAGACAGGCGATGACGAGCCAGCGCAGGTTGGGACAGACTCCCGCATAGACAGGCTCGGCCAGTCGCCAGCCGTACGTGGGCCAGTGCATCAGGGCGACGTTGGGACATCCCGCCTGCTTCAGCTCGTCTTGGCTCCAGAGGTCCAGGGGCACCTTGGGCGCGAACGGATGCGTGTGGACGTAGCCGGTGATGGCCACCTCGAGCATCTTGGCGATGATGAACGTGTTGCTCCAGAAGCCGTACCTACCAGCGACCCGAGTTTTGGACCCCGAATCGACCGAGACCCGATCGTTCAAATCAGCACCGGCGTAGCGCGCTGGGAAAACGTCCGCTTCAGGGTACGGTTGCTCGTCCCATTCTCGGACAATCTGCTCGGGGAGGTGACGGCCAGGCTTGAGCGGCCGGCGCATCGACATGTAGCCAGGAGCCAACATGCAGTCGTACTCTTCATCCATCTCATAGCTCCAGCCGCCAAAGTCATGGAGCTTAAATCGTAGCGATGGCTTGCCCTCGGAATCGGTTGTGTCGGTTGCCAGGACTGTGCACATTAGTCAGTACCACATCATAATATCCGTCATAATTGCCGCGCCAGCACGTTGGGTTTCTATTGCACTTACTGTTGTTCTCCTCCAAATCAAGGTGGACGTCGTTTGCAGGCTTGAGATCCTTCAGACAACTCCAGAGCCATCCTTGCGTCGGAGGACGCAGAAGCTCTTCCCTGTACATCTCGGCGAGGGTGAGTTTCCACGTACCGAGACATCTGCGGTGAAGAGCCACTTCGCTGACGCCCATTGCCACTGCGCATATCAGGTCAGCTCAAGAATCAACTTCAAAAAGGGGGTGGGAGGGAAAACGTACAGTCTTTGAAAAGCTGCCACAGAGCAGCATTGGGCCAGGTCACTCTCAGCTCGGCCGCCTTGGCCAGGATACCCTTGAGCGAACCGCGCGTCATGAACTCGAGGGGCAGAGCGCCGAGCTGGTCAAACTCGACAACTTCACCGGGGAACAGCTTCTCTCCAGATGGATTGATGACCGCGTGCCGATCGGCCACCAGGTAAGGGATGTAATGCTGCACGATGCACTCGGCGCGCGCATACTTGTCGTGCCAGTCGCGCTCCAGCTGCACTTTTTTGGCTAAATGGGCTGGACTGCCACCCGCCGTCAGGATCTTGAACACAAAGTACTCCTTTGTCCCATCCTCGTAAAGAGCTTGCCACAAGGTAGCCGCGCCGTTGCCGCCCCGTGCGAGGGCCTTGACCCATCGCAGGCGAAAGCCAAAAAAGTTGAATAGATGGAGGCCTGTGTTCCGGACAAGCTTGTGCTCCGGGACATTGGAGGTAAACGGTTCAACAACCGTGGCAAGGATATTGTTAATCTTGGGGCCTAGTCTGTGCCTGGCCTGGCCGCTCGTGTCAGCGGGATAGATGCCACGCTGAAAGGAGCAGTAGTCCCAGACGTATTTGATGCGGTTGAAGAAGCTCGGCGGCATGTCGAGCATTTCCCCCAGCGTGTCTCTGGAGCTGCGGTTCCACAGGGTGACGGTTGTATCCCCGCGCACCATGGCCGAGAAGAGCGTGTGCCTGTTGCGTATCCTCATGTCTGGAAGCGGGACATTTGGGTGGGCTTCCAGAACCAATCTGGGCCAGCCGTATGGGTTTTCCGCTATATTTGTCGCCATTGTAATTAAACGGTCTCGTAATTGTTTTTTGGTGTTGATTGGGAGGAAACGGGCAAGGTGATGACTTTATGCGCATGAGGTGATTTGACCCCGAACCAGCGACGATTTATAGACTCGAGGTGCTCGCGGCTGACAGGCGTGCGAACCTTTTGGACAAAGCGCGTCGTTCATTGCTGCTATGCTGGTGTTGTGTTCAAGTCAAACCAAGCACAAAGCCTCATGGACCATGGCACCAAGCGCACAGCCCTGGTCCTCTATTGTCGATGTCTGGAGTTGCTAGAGTCTTCTTGTTTTCCCGCGACACAATGGCGGCCCATGGATGAACACTTGTCGTGGGGGTGTGACTGACAATGGAGAACAAGCTGCTCAGCAAGTAGACATCTCGACTTGATCATGGACGTTCATGTCCATCTTTGTCGCCCATCGCATCGCGGGTTGCCTTGTCCACGTCTCGGTCGGTCTTTGTCCATGACGATGCACAAGCCGAAGCAAAAAGATATCTCTGTTCGTCATAGTCTAATTATTAGTCGGTTGGAGTAGTATCCATCGGCTCTATTTGCGCGTTTGGAGAGACTGGAGCCTGCGGGTATAATTAATTACTGGCGGGGATTCGGGGAAATCGGATTGCATTCAGGCTAAATAGCAGCTCGACACGAGTTTTCCTCTTCGCCGAATATTTCCCCTTTGAACCCTGTGAGTACCATGGGCTGCCATTATGTCGACGCAGCGACGTCGTGTCCCTGATTGGTGGGCTTGCAAAGCGCCTCATCATCTTTAAAAACCTCGACGCAAGCAAAGATCGTTTCATCATGGCGAGGCGCGTGCGAGGCAGCGAGCTCATCAATATCCGCGCAAATAGCCGGCTGTGAATAATTACCGGGGCGCCCACCTTTATCCAAAGCCGCATTATCCACCACATGCGCCTTGAAGACCGCAGAGTATAGCCATGCCAATCAGGACGTGGCTCTCATCATCGGACAGCAGACAGAAGGCTGGCTCCACTGGCACGTTCGCGTGGGCTCAACGGCTAGTGAACTATTACGTGCCAACATACATTACGCGCGCAGCATGGTGATGCGCATTGCGAGACGCCACGGTTGGATGCGCGTCTCACGACAGCGGGACCAGAGCCAAGGTAGCATGCGCTATCGTTCAAGAGGGGCGACTCGTTGCCCACCGACGAGGTGATTCAGTACGTTGCGCTGGCAAAGAGCCCAAGACAGCAAGTACTTAGGGTTTAGACACCCTCGTCGTCCCATGTCCTTGACCTGTTCCCTTCTTCCTTATACTACTCCCTCCTCGTCTATGTTCCTTTCTCCCTCCGCGCGTCTCCTCTCTCTCGCAACACCACGTCTCTCCTCTCGCGCTGTCCTGCGTCCTGCCAGCAGATACCTGCCCCGTCTCCAGCCTCTACACCCAGCTCGAAGCGCCTTTCGCACTCTCGCCACAATGCCTTCGCCTACCGTCAAGCTCAACAGCGGCCATGAGATGCCCCTCGTGGGCTTTGGTCTCTGGAAGGTCGACAACGCTACGTGCGCCGACACTGTCTACAATGCCATCAAGGCCGGCTACCGTCTGTTTGACGGCGCTTGCGGTGAGTCTGACCCGGCCCTACCTGTCTGCACCTCCTCGGACGACAAATTGCGCTGGCGCAACGCGGTTTGTGGAAGTCACGATCCAGACGTTCGCGGTCGTTCGTGGTGGTGGTGGTGGTGGCAGCTACTTTGCTGCCCCGCCACCCCGCTATCCGCCTGAATGGAAAGAACCCTGCAAAATAGCGTGCCCCTCATCGCGCCGGGCCTCGCCCCTCCTCCTGCGTCGCAAAGTTTCGTCCTGCGCCCAATGAGACTCGGCATTGTATTGTCCCGAGCGATACTCCCCGGGTAAAGTCTCTGGGTGGATCGTCGAGGAGACTGTGCTACACTACATGCGCCAACAAGACCAATTACTGCATAGATTAGAACCTTGGCTGACTCTGCTGCGCCCTCCAGATTACGGCAACGAGAAGGAGTGCGGTGATGGCGTCGCCCGCGCCATCAAGGATGGCCTCGTGAAGCGCGAGGACCTCTTCATTGTCTCCAAGCTGTGGCAGACCTTCCACGACCAGGACAAGGTCGAGCCCATCACCCGCCGCCAGCTCGCCGACTGGCAGGTCGATTACTTCGATCTCTTCCTCATCCACTTCCCCGTCGCCCTCGAGTACGTCGACCCCAGCGTCCGCTACCCCCCCGGCTGGCACTACGACGGCAAGAGCGAGATCCGCTGGAGCAAGGCCACCAACCAGGAGACCTGGGGCGCCATGGAGGGCCTCGTCGAGAAAGGCCTCGCCAAGAGCATCGGCGTCTCCAACTACCAGGCCCAGACCCTCTACGATACCTTCAAGTACGCCAAGATCCGCCCGGCCACTCTCCAGGTCGAGCTGCACCCCTACCTCCAGCAGACCGAGCTCGTCCGCCTGGCCCAGGCTGAGGGCATCGTCGTGACCGCCTACTCCTCCTTCGGTCCCACCGGTTTCATCGAGCTCGACATGGACCGCGCCAAGGGCGTCGCCCCCCTCATGGAGCACGACGCCATCAAGGCCATGGCCACCAAGCACAACAAGACCCCTGCCCAGGTCCTCCTTCGCTGGGCCACCCAGCGCGGCATCGCCGTCATCCCCAAGACCTCGCGCCCCGCCGTCATGGAGCAGAACCTGAACCACACAGACTTCAACCTCGACCAGGAGGAGATTGACCGTATCTCCAAGATGGACCTGAACCTCAAGTTCAACCAGCCCACAAACGTAAGTCGCTCACTAGCCCCTCTTGTCGGTATCCATACTAATAATCCTTTAGTACTTCCCTACCGAGAAGCTCTGGATCTTCGGTTAAGTACGTGTGGGGGCAGGAATGAGAAGAAGAATGAGGGGCGCATATTTGTAAATGTCAACAGGTATAGCCCAGGTTCTTGCTCAAATGCAAATCAGTCAAATCACAACTCTTGCCCTCGTAGCCAGTGATGTGCTTGCTCTCTAGAGACGCCAGCGGCTGTCCTTGCATGCTGCAGCCGTAGTCTCCCGAACGCCTTGCTCTGCGTGAATTCATATCCTATGAGACTGCCTGCTAGACCTTGACATAAGCTGCACCCGACGTTAGACCATGTTTGCTTTGGACGATGCGATGCTCAAGGACAAAGTACGTACTAGCGTCGATCTGGCTCACCTGCGGCAGCGTTAACCTGACTTTGTTGCGGTACAGTGCTGGCGCACGAAGCTGCAGAGGGTTCCCTTCGAAATAGACAGTCGTCAAGGCCTCCTTGTTCTTGAGGTGCTTCTCCACATCGTTGAAATCTATAATGAGATTGTAGCTGGCCCAGAGCTCCTCAATTTTTTTCAACGGACCCAAACCTTCGAGCTTGGAAATTTTGTTGTGGGAAATGTCCAGCACCTTCAGATTGATGTTGGACTCAATACCAGCTAGCGAGTCGAGCATGTTGTGGGACATGTATAGCTCCTCGAGGGTGGGAACATCCTTGAGAGGCGACAAGTCGATGATGCGGTTCGATTGGATGCTGAGCAGTCGTAGCTTCGGTAATCCGCCCAGTCCGGTGAGGTCGGTGATCTTGTTTTTGGCCAGCCACAGCTCCTCGAGCGCCTGCAAGGACTCGAGGTTCTGGATTTCGCGGATCCTGTTCGATCCGAGCTCCAAAGACGTGAGTTTCGTCAAGGTTTCAAGGTTCTCAATCTTGCTGATCTTGTTCGCGACAAGGAATAGCTCTTTCATCTCGGTCATGTGGCTGATGTTCTTGATGTGCTTGATCTTGTTGAAGCTCAGATCGAGGCACTTGACCTTTGTGAGCCCGTCAAGACCGCGCATGTGGTTGATGAGGTTGTCGTAAAAGTCGACGTCTTCGAGCGTCGCGGCGAGGGCTTCCAAGCCTTCGATTTCTTGGATCCTGTTCTGGCGGAGGCAGATTCGCACAACGCTCTTGAAACGCTCGAGTTTCAGCGCACCCATGGAGCCGATGCGCGAGTGAATGCACATTATTTCGTCAGTATCGGCGGGTTCGTCTTTGAGAAGATCTGTACATTATTCGTCAGACAGGGCAAGGCTCCTTTGGAGAGCTCATGGTTGCTCACCTTGGTCCGCAGGGATTTCCTCGCCTTCCAATACATTTTCCTCGTCCGAGTATTCAGGATCTGACAGGGCCTCGGGGTTCGAAAGAAGCGCTGACTTGGGAATGCGAAGCTTGCCGTCCCAGCCGTTGCTGTTGGTCATCCCAGTGTTCTCTTCGTCTTGGTTGTGCCCCTCGGGGACCTCGATGTGGGCGTGCCCGTCATTCTCTGGCGCGGACATGCTGGGGGATCTGCGTTTGTCGCGCGCAACACGAGAACAATTTCGATCGATGCGATGGTCTTGGGGCGCGACTACGTAGCTAAAATGTGGTGAAGGATAGAGTTAGGGAGAACGTATATTTGTAAGGCGAAGAAAGATAGAGCTGTGGAGGTGTCCGCCATCTGCCACTAACAGGTGAGATCAGCCGATGGCCTGCGGGGCATGCGGCAAGGCACCTTTCAAGCAGCCACCACTGACTCTGACAAGCTTCTCCTGAGACAGCACCATCATTGCCCGGTACTCTGTCAATCACTGAGGACCGCAGGCACTTTTCTCGCGCTCTCTCGTCAGCATGCAGTACATGGCTCATCTGCAACGACCTATGGACAACTCATGAGCCGCGCGTTGCCTGTGCAATAAGCACTCTGCAAACAGCGCACCCATCGCGGTGTCGATAACCATGCGCACCCTATCGGTCGTTGCCAGAAGAGGCTCGTGTTTAGCCTTTCGCATGCCGCCAGTCTCGATTCGACGACCAGAACCATGCACCTACCGATGGCGCACTATGCGCGCTCGGCGACACCTACATCTGCCGGCAGTTCTAGGGCCGCCTCTCATGTTGACGGGCTTGTTCGTGGCGTTGTGGACGTGGAAGTGTATGATGTTGGTTCTGTTCCAGAACACAATCATATACAATCCATTCATGCCACCCAACTCACGTAGCATGCGCATCGAGGACTTTGCGAAGGAGTGTCGGGGAATTGGTTGGCGCGAGGAGAGGATCAGAAGTCTGGATGGTACCGAGATCGCATTGTGCATCAGCGACGAGGTTTCAGGTAGCCAGGCAGATCCGAACCGACCACCGGCCTATGTCATGTACTTTCAGGGTAGGAACACTCTCACCGGCGTAAGAGCCCTTGGTGCTGACCATCCTCACAGGGAACGCATCTTCTCTACCGCCGCGGCTGCCCGACCTTTCCGCGGTTCTGCACCGTCTGCGCGACATCGATCCGAAGACACGCTACATCGTGGTCTGCCTGAGCTACCGCGGTTACTGGACCTCGCACGATCGACCGTCGGAAAAAGGAATTAACATGGATGCCGAGGCTGGCATTCGCTGGATATCCAACCACAGCCAGCGTGTTGGGTCGGTGGACGAATCGAAGCCGCCAGCATTAATACTATATGGGCAGAGCATTGGGTGTGGCTTCGCGACCAAATTGGCGGCAACAACAAAGGCGATGAAGGTGGACGGATTGGTGCTGGAAACACCATTTACCTCGACCCGCGACATGTTGAAAGCGCTCTATCCGCAAAAGTGGCTGCCGTACCAATACTTGTGGCCATTTCTGCGGAATTTCATGGACAGCTGGACCAATTTGGGCATCATCCGCGAGCGGGCCTCTAGGACGCCACCACCTGGGATCTACATGATCGAGGCAGGCAAGGACGAGCTTGTGCCCAGCGAACTTGGACAACGGCTCTTTGAACGATGTCAAGATCTTGGGCTCCCCGTCGAGAGGTCGAAGATTCGATCGGCTCTTCACAATGAAGTCATTGTGAGACCTCAAGGCAAGCAAGCCATTGCGCAGTCCATCGCGTCAGCCGTCGGAAGAGCACGACAAACGTGACCGTGGACATGGGAGCCATAGCCTTAAAGTGGACAGGTGCAACATTCGAGCCGGCACGCAACGTTATCAGTCATCGTGATATCCCTGCCTCGCCAATATCAGGCATCAAGTGAAGGGAACTGTGTGAAGATCGGCAGACCATGAGCTTACGGGTGCTGGGACTGGCTTCCAATTGCGTCGTGGTGCCTTGCGCCAGTGAACAGGCTATGTAGTATCGTCATTTCTAATGGATCTGAAGACTGAGCCTGGTCCGCACCCTTGTCCTTTTTAGTTCGCTAGGTGGGCGCCCAGGCAAAGGCTTGAGCACAGCTCACGGACCATCGTGCGTTCTTGTTAACCCCAACCCAAGATATTGACCTGGTCGCGGGCTTGCTTGGAGTTGCGAGGCGTCCAATTGGCACTCAACGAGTCAACAAAAGCTCGCAATGACTATTCTTTCTTACACTTTTGTTCTGAGACAGCTGAGCCTTTGAAGCATCGCCGACCGAAACCCCAGGCTCATCATGCATGCACGCCGTCCAGTCCTTGGTGGAGCACACCACACGGCCCTTTTGTCCTCGGACGACGGCTCATACGCAAGCTCTTCAAACCCCTGCACTGCTTTTTCCAGGCTCTGACTCGACGCTTGGGCAGCCCCTAACCAGGGTTTTTATTGAGCTTGTACTGGGTGGTTGCCTACCGCATCTTTTAGGCGGCAAACGACCTTTCGTGACCTTGGAGCACCCATCACGTGCATTGGCGACAAGGTCGTGCCACTCCTGCGACCCCTCCACCCCCCCGACGCGACCAGTAGGAAAGAAACGCGTCGTGGGACGTACGTTATCACCACCCTCGACCGTTGCCTCACTTGGCCTGGGCCGGTCAGGCTCACCTGGCGGCGCTGATTTCCGCCTGGCCGGCTGCTTTTGCGTGGCAACCGTATAAGTATGCCTCTGCACCGCATGCTGCCAGACTCAGGTCTGCGTTCCCTCGACCATTCATGTTGGATGCCTGATGCTTAAGGTAAGTCGTCGACCAACGCCGCCAGCATTTACGACAAACGAATCTTTGCTTTTTATTTGATTTACCGGGCTGTCATTTTCGTGCAACATTTTCTGGACACACATACACCACATCGATTTCGCATTCCAGTCCTCACGACCGTCGACGCCCATCATGTTCACGAGCAGCCGACAATTTAAGACATCGAGCAAGAGCTTTTCGAAAGGTCACAGCAAAGGCAACAAATCTAGCTCATCATTCAGCAAGGACAGTGGAGTCCAGAAAAGGCGCCATGAGTCCTCTCGGTCGCGTCGGCCTGGCACGGCTTCCACATCGATGACCGCTGATACCATTATGAGCAAGTACGTACTACTGCATAGCCGGCCATGTGGTTTCCGCGAACCTCACTAACACCCAGAAGCACCTCTACCATCATCACTCTTGTCGTCGGTGCGGAGCAGCGCCTTTTCGCCGCTCACGAAGACGTTCTACGATCGAGTTCCTTCTTCGCCAACGCCCTCCGAAATGGATACATGGATCCCACCACCAAGCGAATCGCCCTTCCCGATGAGGAGCCCGAGATTTTCAGCTCAGTCCTAGAGTTCCTGTACAAGGGCGACTACTTCCCTCGCCTTGTTCACAACAAGCGAAGGAACTCGTATGAACTGGAGCCCACCCCCGAAGAAGATAGTGCTGCCGCCGAGAGCACCGTCTACCACCGCAGTGTAGAGGGTGACCTCCTCAAGGACACTGTCATCTACTGTGCTGCGGAGCGGTACGGGCTCACTGAACTTAAGAAGATTGCTCTTCGCAAGCAAGGTCTTCGTATGTACACTCCTTTCCGAGCGCGAAGCATGACTGACACTCTTAGAATCTGGCATCCAGTGCAGCACCATCCTTGCCTCGGCCCGCTATGCCTACGCCAACACTCCCGACAGCGACTCCAAGCTTCGTGCGCACTACCTCGCTCTCATCATCCGCTCCCGCTCGACCTTCAAGCGCAGCGGCACAATGCAGTTGGAGATGTACAACGGTGGCTCACAGCTCTTCTTCGACCTCTTTGTGGCGCTGAGCAACCATGTTGACGATATCTCTTCTGCCTCGTAAGTCATTCCCACCTGTTCATACCAAAGACGTGTCTTATTAACGAGACGTAGCGGGACGCCTCGCTCCAACCGCTTCATCTGACGCTCTATGACACTGCCATGAACCGAAGCATAATGTTAATCACATCTCATTTGTATCTTTCATTTGTCATGCACGCTTTGGGGTTTCCCCGCCACCGCAAGGGGCAATGGCGTTCAAGGATGGTTATCTCCTTTTCTTTTTCTCCATTCACAGCGGTTACCCGTGTACGACTATTTGGGACAGGGTTTCAATTGGCATATTGACGGCGTTCCGGTATCTCACATTTGTCACTTCACGACACAGCGGCAGCAGCAAAAGGGTCGTTCAGCTGATAAGAAAGCAGCACAATACTAGATTGAAAGCCACATGCACGTTGGCAGGGGGTTGTTGTTGTATCATCACTCATTAAATTGCACACAAGGGCTTTGATAGTCCTTTGAATAGTGACAAAAAGAATGAATAGCAAGGCTTGCCGTGTTTGAACTTCGAGGTGAACATGTCTGTCGGGAGTGGTTGCATGGCATCCGCACTACAGCCGCACGTCCCCATGTAGCGTGAAACATAAGTTCTGGGTTGCTTTTTGCGAGCCGGAATGTATTCCCCGGAACCGCCTTCTTCACAAGCGTGGACTGTGACTCACGCTGGAGTGGTGTTGGGAACACTCATGGATGTGAATCCGTGTGAGTGGGCGCACGAGCGCACAGGGCCCGGTCAGACGGGCGGACAATGACATGGTCTGGACTAGTGGGATTTTGAAAGTAACCTTGTTCACTCAAACCGAGTTGCGGGTTGCCGGCATTGCATGTAGGCTCGTGGGTAAGCATGCATAAGCTGATTGCAGACCTCATGGGAGGACCAGCTGGTTCCCAAAGAGTTCCCATACTCGGTGAAAGAAGCAGTGAAGCAAGTATTAGCTGTTGAATCTCAATACTTCATGCCGACCAAAGCTTTGTGGCTGTTCACCACGTTGCACTCGCCCGTGCTCCCAGGATAAGTACCGCTGGCTTGCGGAACCATTATCCGCTACGAGTCGAGTAAAGCAAGTGACCATTGCCTCGTGATTCATTATCGTAAAGACTTGCCGAACGCAGCTTCACACCCCCGTGCCCGGAAAAGCACCCTTCTTGGATAAGACCATCATTCCCCGCTCCCGCGCGATGTAGCCTTTCATCAAACCCTGTAAGGAGGTCAGTACTCAATAAAAAGAACAAGTCGGACCATGCAAAGTGCACAGCCATTGCAAGGCAAGGGCATCGTGGCTGTGGGACAACCCAAGGCTGCCCAGGCTGCGCACGTATTGAGGCATAGAGGAATACAACTTGCCTTGTAGATTTGGTTGGCCAGAAAGCACTCAACTTCATCTGGATCTGTTGTCTGGGCGCCACTACCCATACTTATGGCGGCCTGGAACTCATCCAGAGGTATGCGCGTGCGGCGTTGAGGGGGCGCACTGGCGTCCGCAGACTCCTCGAACCCGCCGGCGATGAACACTTTCCGGAGTAGGTTGCGCATGGCGACATCACGCCCACGCTCCAGAGTGAGGTAGATACGGTGTCGCACGAACTCATCCTCTCCCTTTTGCAGCTCCTGGTCAAAGCTACGCAAGTCACCTTGACGAATGTATCGGGTCAAGGGGTCAAAGAGCTTTTGCAGTCTGGGAAAGGGGGCCAGCAGCTGTTGGCTTGGCAGCATGTGGCTCGTCAACAGTCGGCATGGTATAAGGTACATAAGAATGCGTCTAAAAGGTCAGCCTTGGTCAATGATATACTCCTGGCGTCAACATACTCGAGATTCTCCTTCGCTCCGTGGGCGCACATTTGCCACGCTTCCGTCAACCGTTCTTCGGCCTGCATATCATTCAGTAAGAATAGGCTGATGCTTTCGGTATACTCACATTGGCGTAGTTCTCTTCGAGGAAAAACAAGACACCTTGGTAGTACCTGAAGGTAACCCTTTGGGACTTGGGGAATGACGCAAGCGGCGGCAAGTCGCCTCGTTGCTCGTAAGCCGCCAGACTTGTGAGGATAGTTTTGGACATGGAAGCCGATCCAAGCTTGAAATATGTCTTGAAGAGAAGGTTGACGACAAAGTAGATTCCCCACTTGCGAGATTCTTCGAGGGGCGCACTGACAGCCATTAGCTAATGTCGTTTTTGAGGGTGAGTGTACATTTGCTCACCGATCTGTGAGACATAAGCTAAATATGCGCTTGAGGTGTTGCTCGGCATCACGCAATTGTGATTGTCTCTCTGCGTCTGGGTCAAAGTCATCTCCGATGAGCATGAAGCCCTGGTGAGCAGGAGTCCGGCGTTTGGGCTCTGCATCGGCCTTGATGGCGAAAAGTCGAAGGTATTTTCCCACCATGTAGAGACTTGGTATCGTCCAAGCCTCGAAACCAAAGTTGTTGTAGCCGCGAACGAGCATTGAGGTCAGATCCCTCCATGCCTCATACACTTTGGTCCAAGAACTCTGCGGCATGGTCAGTATCAACGTGTCCGCGCAAGAGTTCGGCGGCCCTTACTTGGCCATGTTCGCCCGCAAGAATCTCTTCAATTGCCTTCCAGTATGCAGCATATACCTCAACCCAGCCCGTCAACGCATCCTGACTAAGCTTGCCGCGATGTGAGACGCTCGTCTTGATGTAATGTTTAATGTCACCTTTCACACTGTGGGAGTTCGTCGACTGCGAGACGCGGAGCAGTCTGTGGGGTTTGTCTGCAGGTGGTACTGGAGAGAGAGTCTGGGCAAGCTCATAGCCGTTACGTGCTTGGCGGGCCTTTGCGAAATCCTCAAACAGCTCGTTCATGACGAAAAGTTCTCGTCGAGGCGGGGGTCTGTTTTACTGCAGTCTGGTGGCTGTAGCTGTGGTCGCACGGCGACTTATCTCGGCAAGCAAACAAACAAGAGGACCTCAACATGAACGAAAAACTTCACAATGACAGCAGGCGTGAGAGTGAGTGTTATACTCCTTTTGTTGACTTTGCCGGAAGGTGCCCCAGAGACGAGAGGTCAGTTCTGATTGGATAATGGTCGCCTGTCTGGTCACAGAGCGCAAGTGCGGGAATCTGAGTCCGATCCAGTCCGGCGTTACCGTGAATAGGACGCACGTGATGCCCACAAGGTGGGGCGATAGCAGCCCAATCAGAAGTGGGGTGCAAGCCCTGCAGTCTTTTCTCGTGCCTTAGCCCTCTCTCAAACGCCGCACACAAAAAATTACGCTACGACTTCCAACTTCGGCCTATCCATCACCAAATTTCGAGGCAGTTGACGACACACACAGCCGCAACAGTGAGTGACAACCACCACATAATTTGGTCATTTCATTGATTACTGACATTCGCACAGATGGGTAAGTCGTTGTCTTGAACGATTGCATGTTTTCGAGCGCTTGCCGATGAGGAGGACCACCACGAGGGGCGATGGCAGGCGACATGGAACGACGAGGGGCTTCAACACCAAGCCGGGCATCTGGGACGATACGATCGACATTCGAAGACACCGCAGCATTCAGCAGTCGCTGCTCTGCTAGCTTGTCTCACGGCTTCCGAGCGTCCACGGCGCACTTACCGAGCTCGACTTCCATCTCCCGACGCCTGCCCTTCGTTGGCTCGACTTCGGAACCCTCCAAGCGCTTCGAGCATGCATGCATTGTCAGCAACAGCCGCTGACTGTTTTTCTTCACAGGTCGCCTTCAAGAGTATGAGGTTATCGGGCGCCACTTGCCCACCGAGGCCAACCCCGAGCCCTCGCTGTACCGCATGACCATCTTCGCCCCCAACACCACGGTCGCCAAGTCCCGCTTCTGGTACTTCATCCGCGGTCTCAAGAAGGTCAAGAAGGCCACTGGTGAGATTGTCAGCGTCAAGACGGTACGTTATCATTGGAGATGGAACCACAGGAGAAGCGGATTTTCTGACAGTGGACACACAGCTGCACGAGAAGCACCCCCAGAAGATCAAGAACTTTGGCATCTGGATCCGCTACGACTCGCGCTCCGGCACCCACAACATGTACCGCGAGTACCGCGAGATGAGCCGCGCGGACGCCGTCGAGACCCTGTACTCCGACATGGCCGCCCGCCACCGCGCCCGCTTCAGGTCCATCCACGTACGTTGCCGACACCATGGTCTCGTGCCTGCGCGCGCACTGGTCAGCTTGCTAACGGACTCTGCAGATCCTCCGCGTCGTCGAGCTCGAGAAGACCGAGGACATCAAGCGCCCCTACATCCGCCAACTCGTCACCAAGGACCTCAAGTTCCCTCTCCCCCACCGTGTTCCCAAGCTGGACGCCAAGAAGGTGTTCAGTGCCAAGCGTCCTTCGACCTTCGCTTAGACTGTTGTTGCTTTTGGTATGGCGGAACGGTTGGGCTGGCTTTGCGGGTGTTTACTACGGATCAAGGAAATATCAACTGCATGGGCTCGGCAAAACGGGCGATGAATGAAAGTCAAATTCTTCACAAGTGGAAAGAAAGCGTGGCATGCGCGCACGAAGGGACTGACTGCGTGTGGAGTGAAGTCTTGTTGCATTGATTGTGAGCTACGGCTGGCTACTACGTGTCGTGACGAATAACTACCATCCGCTCCCACTCCCGCTCCCGCTTCCAGGCGAATAACTGTTCATCTGGGTATCGTGCAGGAAATCATTCCATGGACCCATGTCGAAACCAAGACTGGCGTCCAGGCTATCACCGAAAGTCATATCGGTGGCGGGTGGGTACTGGAACAGGATGGAGGGATCCATGTCCATAGTGTCGAATGGCGGCGCAATCTGCGTGAGGCCAATGGCGCTGGGCACCATGGCTGCGGGCTCGACTTGGCGAGGCAGGAGAAACTCCTCTGCGGATACTGGTCCAGGCGCAGGCGGTGCGGCCGCCTTGTCTCGCAAGGAGAGGTCATCCATTAAAATCTGCGCCCTGGCGGCCTTTGCCCTTTTGTAGAGTTTCTTGATTGGTCTCCACAACGGTCCGTTGGTCGAGTCGGCCGCGGCGCTTCCCCAGAGGGGGTAGACCTTTTCAACCACGTCCCACGCACGCCGCGCCAGGTCCCCGTCCGTCTGCACGCACAGCTCCGCCAAGGCCACCGCCAGGGGATGCCACTGAACGTAACACTTGGTCCACCATGAGAAGCGCTCCCTGAAGGGCTCCTCGGCCATGCGATGGGAAAGTTCCATGACGGACACGGCTGTGCGAAGCATAGTGGCACGCGACACCCGCATGGGCACGACAGTCGGGTGAGATGAGAATGGGTACTGCACGATGAGCCAGAGTTTGAGAATCACGAGGCGTGACACCTCGGCGGCGTAGCGTGATGGTAAACTCGACTGATCGACAGTGTGGATGAAGTCGTTCTCCATTGCACGGACATGGTCGATGAGTTCTTGCTCTGTGTGCAAGGAGTTGTCTGTGTCGTCGTCGGCGGCGGCGGCCACTCGAGATCGCGGGTGGGCAATGTGGCCAAAGGTTGTGCAGCGAGACATGCATACGAGCACAACGTTCTCAGTAGGTGTGGTCTTGGGAACAAGGGGCTCGGTGGTGTCGGGACCAAAGGCCTCGTCGTCAATATTCGTCGGGCGGATGGTATTGTACGATGTGGGCGTCAGGATGGCGTCGGACCCTCTGTCCTCTGCGCCGCGGACGTCGAGCACCGTGATAAAGTACCAGAGTCGCCGCCGCATCTCACCCTCAAAGGGGGAGAAGTGCTTGCCTTCACCGTCCCTGTGGAGATTCATAGCCTGAGCCAGTCGGACAATCATCCCAGTGAGGACCCATGACGCCCGGCTGGTGGAGTAGGAGCGCAGCATGGTCACGTAGAGGGTCGCGGCCTGCAGTGTGGCCAAATCATTGCTGTTGAGGTAGTCTGCCGCAGCGAGTGCGCGCTCGGCACACAGGCGGTATCGAAGGGCCAGGATGTTTTGCTCTTCGCCCAGCTGCGCGCGGCACTGCTCCGGGGTGATTGTAGATATCGCGGCAAAGTATATGCAGAAGAGGAGTGCGTTCATGGCTGGTGGGGGTGTGTAGGGGTTCGGCATCGACAGCAGTTGCTGGATCTCTCGGTTGATCGAAGGGCGATGGAGGATCTTGACCAGAGGGTCGACATTGAGTGTGTATATTCTCCAGAGAGCCAGGAGCGTCTGCTGCGGAGGGTGTGTGAGGGGGCTGCGTTCCTGGTAGTACTGATTCCCCAGATGAAAGCCAGAGGGTGTTGCGATGGCCTGTATGCCACCGCCCCAAGATTCAGGAGACTCCTCATAATCGTCATTGTCATTCTCATCGTCAGACGGCTGTTCAAGAGCGGCCTTGATCCCGACCACTTCCCTGCAAAGGTGGCCCCAGAACTCATCACTCATATACCGTGCTGTCGCTTCCTTGGAGGGTTGTCCCGGTACCGAGGAGGAGCTACCCGCTGCAGCAGAAGAGGGTCTTTTGACATGGACATCTCGCGCGGCCGTCCTGGATGCGGATGTTGCGGGGACACCCGTAAGCTTGTCGAGCTCTTCCAACTTTGCCGGGTCAGCCTGCCCGACTATGTCCTCCAAGCGACCGATGCGCTCGAGAAGTTCACTTTGCCGCAGCCTGGGAACGCGACGCGTAGGCTTTCGTGACGGGTAGACACACTCTAAGCTCATGCGCGAGCATTGGGTGCAGATGGGCTGGGTCTTGTCGCACTTGACCTTGCGCTGGCGACAGCTCGCGCAGCTGAGCACCTTGTCGCCGCGTGCCTCGCTCATCTGCTTGGGTCCCAGGGTTGATGGTTGCTGACTCCTCAAGGGAAGTTGTGACTTATGCGTGCGTTCTCACTGACGTGAAACTGATCCGAAATGAATCTCAGAAACTTGAGATTGGGGAGAAGCGTCGCCTACTTGGTTGATAGGTATTAAAACGATTCACATTGCTCAAAATGCCGTCGTCATAAACGTGAATGAGAAGGATCAACCCTGGTCGACGTACGTACATTTAGCTGTCAGCAATAATTATCACCGTTAATTACCTTGAAGTCCACCTCAGGCGTCCGTCGATTCCGTCCTCGGTGGCTGTCTGTGCAAACGGGGCACTTTGATTGGGTGATGAAGAGACGTCCGGTCCGCTTTTAGGGCGTCTTCTATTTAGCCCAAATTGCGCGACGGACAAGTTGAGCCGTTGACTGGAACTCACAGTTTCAAACTGTCAGTCTGTCACCGACAGCCGCTGGGACAAGGCAGTCAGGCTGGCTAGGAACTGGCATTTTGAGTGAGCAATCAACAAAGCTAACTGATGACTTGCTCAACTCAAGTCCATGCGGAAAAGCCCTGTGAGCATGCCATTCTTCGTCTTCTTCGTTGAATCAAAGACGAACAGACGGCCCGCGTGGGTATCTGGGCTCCGGTGAGTCATGTTAAGTCCGGCATCGTGAACGTTCAAGAAAAAGCCAAAACGCCCCGTCCGTCAGATGGACACGAGCGGGCAGCCTGGCACTTCTGTCGATAAATCCACCGCAGTCGTTCTTTGACGGCTGGCGAGCAGCCCAATTGACCGTCGATCATAGGGATATTCTCCCATTCACAATCTTTTCGGCGCCATGGAGACCCTGGCGTCTGGCATTGAGCCCGCCATGACTATCGCTCGCTCGACTTTGGAGTGGACCACCGTCAAGACGACGCTCCCTGCTCTCCCATACCCTCCAATGGCAGAGCGGAAAGCCGTTCGCACCCAGCGACTCCTCATCAGGCCAACCGAAATGGCAGATGCCGAAGCGTTTCACGAAATGCGCTTGCAGCCCGAGGTCATGAAATGGACCCTCCAGGGCGTCCCGGACGTGGACCTGGAGGCGACGCGCAGGTTCATGGCCAAGACTCTTCCTCCCAATGACACGAAAACGTTCAATTTCGCCATCTGCCTTGCCGAGACAGGCCAGCTTTTGGGCGTGGGCGGCTCGCACATGCGCAACGGCGAGCTGGGCTGGCCAGTCATTGGATACATGTTCCGCTCAGACGCTTGGGGGAAAGGATATGCCACCGAGTTTGTCAGGGCGTTCCAGGACATGTGGTGGGCGCTGCCGAGGGCGGAGGTTGAGCTCAAGGTGTCGACGGACACCGTGCATGGGGAGGGCGAGATCAAGGATGAGTTCATTGTCGCCGTGACGGTGGGAAGCAACATGGGCAGTCATGGTGTGTTGAAGAAGAGCGGGTATAAGCTCATCAAGATTTGGGAGGACGAGGACGCCCAGTCTGAAGATGAGGTGGTCGACTTGTATGCATTTGCGGCAAAGCGTCCGTGATAAGGGCCATACGTCTATTACCTTACCTATCAAATTTATATTGCCAGCACTATAAGTACCTAGCAAGGGTCCCGGAAACCGGATTCCCAGGAAACATCGAATCGCGTTAATAGACATTGGCCTGCCGAGACAATCGTCACTACGGACATTCCTCAATGTCCGGATCGACCGGACCCATACTTCAGGGTCCATAGACATATATAAGTGCTTGAGAACAAGGTTCGGCTCCAAAGTAAATCAAATTTATTTCAATTCATAAGTGACTTTATCTACGTATAAGTTGAGTTGCTCACGCCATGGCTACGCTGCAATACTCCACGCCCTCGCTGCTGGCTGTCGCCACTGGCATCCTAGGTTCAGCATGGGCATCTGGTTCGTTCAGACAATACCAAAACGCATAGTAGTCAAGAACTGATCACTTCAAGGCACAATCGCATCCATGTCTCTCGTGGGTATGCCCACAGCAATGTCAGCGCCCAATGATTCGGTCTACGTCTGGCACGGCATCTTCACGCGTGGCATGAATGTCATGCCCAAGGTCGCCATCCTCATCGCAGCGGCATACTCATACGGCGCCTACGATGCGCGCAATCGCGGCGAGAACTGGAAAGGATATCTTGCCGCGGGCGGCGCTGTGCTCTCCATCATTCCCTTTACTCTCCTCTTCATTGGCGGTACCAATGCGACCCTGATCAGCGCGTTCAAGGGGGCGACCGTTTTGTCACAGGGCAGAGCCTCGGAGCTCATTGGGAAATGGGGCGCGTTGAATTTGGGAAGAAGTCTCTTCCCTTTGGTGGGTGCTATCATAGGGCTTAGCACGTTTCTCGGAAACTTGTCCTGAAGCAGGAAGATCATTGGTGTTTGCAGAATTCATATTGGGAAATCATTAATGACCACTCTTGTAGTATTTCAGTCCGTGCATCTTGTCTCTCTGTGAGATGGCTCCCAAACTAAACGCCCATAGTCTTCCTTAACTTCTCCCAACGCCTGCCCTTGTAATCATAGCCCATCACTCTGTTAGACCTCCCCCAATCCAGTGCTGTTCTTGTTTGACGAGTGAAGAACTTGTCATCGCTGGTCCCCAGCCGTTCAAGGTTGATGGCGCGCACATGCGATCACTTGCGAGACTTGTTGGCCCTTTCAAAGGCCTCAATCGCGGCGCGGCAATTTCCGAGGTTGGACTTGGGCTCCCAGGTATTGGACTTGGAAGAGTACCCCTTCCATTTGACCAGGTAGTAATGCTCAAGCGTGCCCGCTTCAATGACGCTGTCCAGGATCGACTCAATCTCCCATGAGTCCTCGGTAAACCGCTGCTTGGATTCGAGCTCGGTGTTGGGCTTGTTCTTTGGCTTTATTACCTTTCGGGCCGTCCCTTTCTTCTGTCGGCCCTTTGTTACGCCCGCTGTGACCATGCTGACAGTTGACGCGGCGTTTGCAGCCGCCTCCGCAACGCGTGCACTGACCCTTCTTTTGGTGCCGGACGCCTTGTGTCGGGCATTGTTCTTGGTCCCCTTGGGCCGTCCTGGCGACGTCCGAGATGGAGTGTTGGGCGCCTGGGACACTTTCTTGGGTCGACCGCGATGGCGAGAGCCACTGATCTGATCTTGCTGAGCTGGGCCGGAAGTGCCCTCCGGTACAGGTTCTCCATTCTGAAGTGCAGGAATGTCTGACGACACAAGCTCGTATTGGCGCATAGATATGTCCTCTCCTCCGTCCTCATGCTGCTCCTGCAGCCCTTCCAAGGGTTGAGTAGTTCGGGACTTCACGCCTCCGTCGATTGAGTCTTCCCACGTGGGCGAGTCTTCCCTGGTGGGCGTGGCCATAGACTGCGCGCCAGGGAATGCCTCTTGTGGTGGAGGACGCGAGTTGCTGTGCTCTGCATATTCCTCACCGATGGAATTGTCCATGTCGCGCTCGAACGCAAGTTTGGCTCTGTCCAGATGTCAGTGTCAGGTATCTATACAATGCGCAGAGCACTTACGCGAGGTCATCTTGTGAATGGTCGCTAGCCATGCTCGTCTCCGAGGCTTCTCTGAATGGAGCCATCGTCACTCGTTCGGGTTTCTCTTAGAGGTTTGAAGGTTAGGAATAGGCCGTGTAGGCCTCACCAACTTCAAGAGCCTACGAATGCTTGCAGGTTGGATGAAGGATGCAGCTTCTGAGTGAGCGGCCATGCTCGAGAAGAAAGAAATATAGAAGGCACCCTGAGTTCTCAGAAACACTTCACCCCAAGTCGGGACATTATTCACTTGGTAAGCCAGAGAACGGATGAAAGCAACAGAGCGCAGCAACTCGAAATTTCCGAGGCATGACTCCTGTAGCAATTCAAATTCAAAAGATCGTCCTCGCTGGACAATCGCAGCAATGAGCCAGATTTGCCGGCATGCCGCATGGGTCTCTGTCACTTGGAGAGAAGCCTCGCGATGAAGATAAGGGAGAGTGGTGCAGCTCTCATGTTGAGGAGTACAAAATCATCTGTCCGTGCCAGGGCTGAGAAGGTCCTGAGTGTCATGGGCGAGCGTTGTTAAGGCTCCGAGCTGATGCCTCAGACCCACACAGTTGTGCACAGCTGTGCACAGTGTCCCGCATGGCTGCACTGTAGGACCCTTAGCAGCGCGAGGCAGCCGGGGTTTAGCGTGCGGAGGCAGGAGAGGCCCCCACTCCAGTCGCGCCAAGCACCTCTCAACGCGTGCACCGCGAGGCAAGTCGCGTAAAGAGCTTCCTTCCCAGTGGAGGCTGGATTCTCGAGACAGTGACCCATGGGATATTCGCATCGTGGATGCGGATTCCACTACTACGTACGTACGTCTCCAAGGCTCATTCTCAACGACACTTCAACCAGCTAGCTGCTCGTGCAGTCGACACGTCAAGACTTGCTCGATTTCTTCTTACAAAACACATTGCTGCATCCTAATGTTATAACAATTCTCACGCCTTGCGCACTCTGCCTCTCGAGTCGTCAAGATTGCCATCTTTGGGCTGCATGGCGGCTGTCATGGCATCTTCGACTCAGGCATCGACACTCCTGGACAACCTCCCGCCGCGACCGCCGACGCCGCCTCGTGACACGAATCATCGAGAAACCGCCGACGGCTCTGCGTCCCTACTCGACCGATCCTTGCCTTCTCCCGAGGCTGCTGTGCAGACGTGGCACACTCCGCCAAACGGCAACTCGCCCGCAACCCCGTCATGCGCTCATCTGACCGACGGATCTGCAAGTCGACTGGGCAAAAGGGTCGTGTGGTCAGGGCGTACCGAGTACAGGGACCCTCCCGACTACAAGAAAGCATTCGACAGCTTCGACAAATCCTCTCCTGTCTCTCTGTCTTCGGCAGCCCGATTGAAGCCGCTCAAGGGCATCCTCAAGATCACGGCGTCGCCTGTCACTTTCGCCTCGCCACTCTCATCCCAGCTCGATGGTTATACTGAAACCCAGAGCATAGCCGAGATGCTCGAATCAACTGTCAAACACTTGGCGGGCTCGGAGAGGGACTCGAAGCTGGATGCGTACATGATGCTGGTTCGAGGGCTCAGGAGCTCCAGCAATCTTCCAGACCGAGTGGCGTTACAGGCCAAACTGGGCTTGCTGATTCAGTTCATCCAGCGCGACATGCTTGCGAAGCAAGAGGATGGATCCGCCGACTTCCAGCTCGTCAATCAGGCCCTGAAGACGTTGGCCACATTCTTGCAGTTCGGAGATGTGAAATCGGCTGTCCCAAACGAGGCGGCTGCCTCCATCATGGACCAAGCCATTCGAACCTTTGAAAATCCTTCGACATCGAAAGAGAGCACACGGAACTTCATGCACATTGTGCGCTGCCAGAACTTCTCGCCAAAGATCATGACGGCGGAGCGTGTCGCCAGGATTGTCCACGCGTTGCACAAGATCGAAGACCATGTCAAAGGGAAATCCATCATCATGAGCCGAATCATGCTGTACCGAAGGCTCGTGTGGCAGTGCAGGAGCCACATGGTAGCCGTCAGCAATGGCTGGCTCAAGGACCTTTTTACGGGCATGCTGAGCACGATCCAGGAGATACAATTGAAAGCAATCGAGTTGGGCTTAGAGGTTGGATATCTCTACCGACAGGAAAGGAGGCTTGCCGCCGAGGTCAAAGTCATGCTCGACACCTCAAACGAACAACAGACATATATGGAGTTTTACATGGACAAGATGCGGGCCATGTTGGCGGACAAGCAACGCTCGTACGCCGCTCCCCAGATATGGAGCGTCGTGACATTGTTGGGTCGACGCTGTCCCCTCGACCAGTGGGAACACTTTACGGCATGGTTCACACTCATACAAGGCGCGTTCAACACGTCTGACTTGCGGACAAAACAAGAGACCAACTACGCCTGGAACCGATACGCTTGTCTGTCACTCAAGGAGACCAGCAAAGTAACACCAAGGCTGCTGGAAGGCCTCGTAAAGCCTTTAACAAGCCAGTTGCGGCGTAAACTGAACGAGAAGTGCCCGGAAGACAGTAAGAAACTGAGGCGGACGGTCGTCAGCGGTGCCTGCACATTGTACTACTACCTGTTCTCTCCCGTTAGCGAACAGAAGAAGGACACGCTCATCGCGTGGGACTTTGCTGTTCAGCCCGTCATCGCGCAGCTGGTGACGGCCACGTACCCCGACGATCTTGCCACGGCAACACGAATCCTCTTGCGCTTGGTGGACGTGTCGACGCCTGTCCTGTGGAAGCCAGAGCGCATCCAAGCGGCGACACCTGTGAGGCCCGACGAGCTGCCTTCGATAGACCCCAAGTGGATCAGAGCGCATTCGGATCGCATATTCAACGCCTTGGGCGGTATCATGCTGCAGTCGGTGCAAAATCTCGCTGACCGCGACAGCCCAGCTTACAAACTCTGGAAAGCCGTGGTTCACGCTGTCGCTGCCGCGTCGGCCAAGGACATCAAGGTATCAGACGAGACCGTTGCCTTTGTAGCGCGCTCGCTGGGCCTCCTCTCAACTATCTGGAGCGCAGGCTGTGCAGATGAGGAAACATTCTCGTCCAAGTTCTTGCCTGGCATACGCAACTACATCACGGTCCTCGTGGACAATTTGGGCCTCCTACCCCTGACTGGGAAGAAGTTGTCTGTGTCGGTGGACAGCGCCAATGTCTTCGAACCCATCGCGACACCGTCACATCGTCCGGCGAAGCCCCAAGGTGTGGTGGCCACACCTCTTCAGCATCTCTTCAACATGCTGTCTGTGGTGCCGACGGGCGGTCGTGACGATGACGACCTTGCCGCCTTCTTCATTTCGACGTTCGAAATGTTCCTAGCCGGAAAGCCCGACAAGGCACGCATCGACTTGGTCAAAGATCTCCAACGCCAATCGCCTGCCAACGCCTCGGCACCGTATGCTGTGTGGATGCTGGGTTCTCAGGCGGTCGCTTTGACCTTGTCCGGCGATAACAAGTTGGACAGCAACGGCGACCGTTTTCTCGGACCCGAGTTTCGAGAGATTACCAACTTCCTCTGCAATGGTCTCTTGTCCCATCCCAACCTACCTTCTCAAGCCTGGATGTCCATCTTCAACGACTTCAGTCAGCGTGTGACATCTGGCTTTGGGGATGCTGGGCGCGCTATAGTCATCATTGAACCACTGGCCAAGGTTCTTGTCGATGTTGATCAGGCAGTGGCCCTCCATCATGAGGCCAGTTGTGCCCTCATTGAGTCTGCTAGATTTCCTCGCGACAGACAGGCGATTGACGCGGCGCGACGCAGATTATGGGGTGCTGAGCTTGTGCCCAGCAAGACGACAGACCCCTTTGATCATCTGTACAGACTGGCCGACCGCAAGCTGATCACTTCCTACGAGGCGCTCGGGGAGCAAGAAGGCTCGCCATTGAGGGCGGTCACGGTTTTGAAAGCTACGAAACAGTTCATTG